TCTAGTGCTTGAAGCTCAGAAACTTATCCTAAACCGCCCTCTAACAGTTTATAACCCACACGACCTAGGGGGAATTTTAAACTCAAAAGGAAAACTTTGGCTATCTGACAGCTGTCTACTTAAATATCAGGCCCAGCTTCTGGGAGGGACCTGTCAGAGCCTAAATCCTGCATCCCTTTTACCAGAGGCAGAGGGAAATCCTGAGCACTCGTGTGAGGACGTACTTATGGAAAATTATGCCGCCCGACCTAACTGATCAGCCCTTAAAAAACCCAGATCTAGAATTATACACTGATGGCAGTTCCTTTGTCAAGAATAGTGTCAGACATTCAGGGTTTGCAGTGGTGACAGAATTTGGCATTCTCAAATCAGGTCCTCTTCCTCCTAATACAAGTGCTCAATTGACAGAATTAGTGGCCCTAACAGAAGCCCTAAGACTGTCAAAAGAACAGAGTCAACATCTATACAGATTCTAAGTATGCCTTCCTGATCCTGCATGCTCATGCAGCCATTTGGAAGAAAAGAGAAATGCTAACTACAAGGTGAACAGCTTCCCATAGGGATAAAAGGGAGGTTACTTTAATGGTTTTAGGGATAGCAGCATTAGTTGCAGCCCTTGCTGGAATCAGCTATGAGGTAATTGCCAATCATGTAACTGCAAAAAAACCTAACCAAAGTGGTAGAGGACACCTCAGACCAGGTAGGCCTTGCCATTAAGGACATGCAAAGGTCTTTGTCGTCCCTTGCCTGTATGGTAATGGACCACCGCCCTAGATTTTCTTTTGGCTAAACAAGGGGAGGTATGTGCCATTGCCAATACCTCCTGTTACACATATATAAACACTTCAGGTATTGTAGAGGAACGTGCAGATTACATTCTCCAACAAGCTAAATGGCTCCGTGGGCAATCTCTTGAAACTCAGGTTTCTACTCAGGTATGGGAACAAATAAAATCCTGGCTCCCATCCAGGACTTGGTTCCTACCCTTTCTGGGGCCTATAGTTGCCCATCCTCTTGCTTGTGTTTGGGACTTGCATTTTAAACTTACTTGTCAAGTTTGTTTCTTCTCGCCTAGAATCCATCAAACTACAAATGCCTCTGGTGGAGATGAAAACGAGCTACTACCGCAGTCCCCTTGACAACCCCTCTCGTGGTCAGCCCTGACGCTGCGGGCCCCTTCATCGCCCCCTGTCAGCAGGAAGCAGTTACTGAACAGACTTCGTTGTCCCAATCCCTAACAGCAGTTAGGGCTACCATTGAGAGGGGGGAATGAAGGACTGAAGGACAGACAGCGGGAAGTCCCAAAAGGGCGCTAAGTGGTCAAGGAGACACTTCTCCTCCCTAAGAAATGCCTGTTTGCATTTGAAAGGCATCTTCACCCTCAGGCAATGCAAACTAGGCTATAAAACCCACTGCCCACCCTGACCGACAGGATCACCAGTTTCCGGGTCCCCCTGCATTCTCCAATATGCAGTCTTTCTCTTCTCTTTTCTCCAACTAAATTCTCTACAAATAAAATCTTTCCGACCTCTGCTGTTGGAGTCTACCTGTACTTTCATTCTCAGAGCAGGCTCAAAAACCCTGAGCATCTGAAATTCCTGCGCGTGTCATCCGTGCATCAGCTCCAGGGTTTAGTGGCTGCTCTAAAATAAGCTATTCTTATATTCTTTAGAGTTCTTTTTACTATAGCAAATCTTGTTATTGTTTGTTTGAGAATTAATCTTGTGTCAATTTATCTGGCCAGAGTGTCCAGATATTTTTAGTCTGGATGTTGTCATTTTGTGTGTGTGTGTGTGTGTGTGTGTGTGTGTGCATATGTGTGTTGGGGGTGCGAGGCAGGGGGAGGGAGGAATGAGATTAACATTTAAATTGTGGAATTTACTACCAGTAAAGCAGATTACCCTCCATAATGTGGGTGGGATTCATCCAATCAGTTGAAGGTTTTAATACAATTCCACAAAAAACTGATTTTTTTTTTCTGTATGGTATGAACTAGGGTTTTTTTCTTACCCTTTTCACTCCAGTTGCCTCGTAGCTTTTTTTTTTTTTAAATTATTTAATAGTTTTGGCTTAATCTCTCTGCTTTTCTGAAGTCTTGCCCTGTGAAACAGTAAGATTCTCCAATAATGAAGCGAAACAAAGTATCAATCTCACAGTTTTATTTGTAAAGAACAAAGCATGAAAAGTCATATTTAAATGTACTCCAAAACCTGAAAAACCCACGTCAGTTTCTGATATGTTAAAGTGCTTAATATCACAATACTCTTTAAATTTTATATTATGTTCAGATGAGAAAAAAAATCCAGTTCTGATAACTTTAACACAAAAGAAAACAATATAATTTAATGCAGAAATGCTAATTTAAAAAGGTACAGAGTCTATTTATACATGGTTCAAGTGTAACATAGGTTTTTTTTTTTCCTGTTTCACTCCTTCATTTGTTTGGTTGGATCCACACACAAGCACATTCAGGGAATTGGACCAAGCATGATTCCCTTGTACATAACCCAAGGATACGATGGAGCCCTTCAAAGAGGAAAAATGTTATTTGATGAATTTTTTTTCACCCTGGTAATATATACCCCCAACGTAAAGCTGCTTTTTTTTTTTTTTCCCTTCACTGTTGTTTTTTTGAGACAGGGTCTCATGATATAGCTCAAGCTGGTCCGAACTCTAGGTAGCCCAGGCTGGCATGGAATTCCCAGCTCTCCTGCCTCAACCACATGAGTACTGGGATTACAAGAATGCCTACCACATCCAAACGGAGATGCTTTTTGAAGTCAATCTTGTTCTTATCCTTGAGAGGGAGATCATCTGTAATTAGGTCAGCTTTGGGACGGTTAGGTTCTCCTTGGAGTTTTTTTTTTTTTTTTTTTTTTTGGTGCTGAGGAGCTGAACCTAGGGCCTTATGGCATGCTACTAAGCACAGAGTCAACCAGTGAGTTATCCCACCCCAACCTCTTCTAGGATTTTTTTTTTTGTGGTACTGGGGTTTGAACTCAGGGTAAACACCTTGAGCCACACCACGAGGCCTGTTTGGTGATGGGTTTTTTCCAGATAGGGTCTCCTGAACTATTGCCTAGGTTGGCTTAGAACTGAGATCCTCCTGATCTCTGCCCCGAGTAGCTAGGATTTACACGCATGAGCCACCAGTGCCTGGCTTTCCTGGAATTCTTTTGATCACACTGCAACTGCAATCTTGGAATTCAATTTGATTCAGCAGACCTGTAAATGCATGTTAATAGGAATAAGGGACCTAATTTGTTTTTCTCTTCTTTTTCTTAGTTATGCTAAATGGTAATGTAATAGTTATATGAGAAGTAGGAACTTCAAAAGACACTGATGGCTTGGAAATAGAATTCACTTTATAAAAGTAAAGAAGAGCTCAAGGCTCCACTCTCAATCAGTGAAGGTGTGTTAATACTGAAACAGAAGTTCAGATTGTCCTTTCAATCTCACGTAAAGGACACAACAGTTTCTGAAAACCTCACAGAAAAGAGTTCCCTAGGTGAAAAATCCTAATTCTTAGCAGAAAGAAGCTATTTTATTATGAGGAACTATATTCTCAATTCTGTTAAATAAATATTTCCTTGGGGACCTGAGGTTCTTGTCTATTGCCTCATATTTCAAAATGTCTTAGGGGTGTCAACATATACGTGACACACAATGCTGATTTACTGATGAGAAAGAAACGATGAACAATTCAGTTATTTCTCTTATCATTTACATAGTGGGACAGAAATTCATTGAAACAAACAAAAAAGCCAAGTTAGCCATGCTAAAATAAATACCACAAGGTTAGAAAAAGCATAATGTGTGAAATATTTGAAAAATTTTAGAGGGAGACCCAAACCCTTGCAAATTGTACATTTCTCCTATCATATTCTCATTCCTGGTGGCAAACAGAGTGGGAATGGAGAGGGTTGGGAGGCTTTATTCTTCTCTTGGTAGCCTATTTTTCTTACAGATGGCTGTACTTTCTACCACTTCACATGTAACCTCAGTCATTTTTAAGGTGCTAATGATTCCCCCCACCCCGCCAAAGCACAGATACAGGCTCTCACATGTAATAACAAAATCAGTGTAAGGCCACTGTGTCATAAAAGTAGAGAGGTTTCAGAACACATAAAAAATATTTGGGGGATACATTTTTGAAGAGGTCATTTTGGCAATTTATTTATTCTTACTGATGTGCTGGAGATGGAGCCCAGGACTTGCACATGCTAGGCAAGCACTCTACAACTGAGCCACATCCCAGTCCTGGCAAATTCAACTTTAAAACGGTTTCTTCTTAATCTATTATGAAGTGTGAATACTAATTACGGTCCCAGTCCTTTACTTTTAATTTGGAATAAAAAAAAGGCAAATAGAAAATTGATTTTTATTTAACCTGAGGTGATTCTAAAACAATATACTAATTAAAAAAATTAACATAGCAGAAAGGATATCCTAAGTGGGTATGGTCCTCACAAAAGTCATCTTGAAAAGTTATGTACCTTTTATCCTACGGAACCTGCTTCTATTGTGCTCAGAATATTTTGGAATTGACTTGGAGAATAGTTATAAGTGATCCCAAATTCAGCTTAAGCATTCTTTTTATTCATCATTGGATTCTAAGGACTTCATGCTGTTTCCAAATATTACGCTTACTCTACAAGGTGAGGACTTAGCATCACTGGGAAGCAGCTCACAGAGGCCCACGTGTGTAGAGCCACCATGGGGAGGAACAGCTTGTGAGGGGCATACAGCATGAAGTGGGATGAAACTTTACATCAAACTTTTTCTGGTATTAGTTTTCAAAGTACCAGTAACACAGGCCCAAACGCAACACTCCTCCCCATTTTTTACAGCAGACATAACTTCTAATAACTTGAGAGCAATTTGTTAAAATAAATGTTAGTCCATACAGATGAGTCTTTTTTTTTCCTGTGGCACTGGGATTTGAACTTAGGGCCTATACCTCAAGCTACTCCACCAGCCCTTTTTTTGTGAAGGGTTTTTCGAGATAGGGTCTCGTGAATTATTTACCTGGGCTGGCTTTGAACCATGATTCTCCTGATCTCTGCCTCCTGAGTAGCTAGGATTACAGGCGTGAGGCACCAGCGTCCAGCACAAATGAATCTTCTAGGAATATTATTTCTTGTCTGTATAGGTGGATGAATAAAGATCCAACAGATCTTTAGGTATGAGTGCCTTGAAGGTTGGGCTCATGCAGTCTGGGGTAAGCATGGGACCCTGTGTTGTCAAGGACCAGGTAGGGGCAAGGGCAAACTCGTGTTTTGCTTCCTTATTTAAGATTTGAGGGCTGGGCTAGACGACTCAATTCTAGCACACTAACCTGAGTATCTTTCTGATTTCTGAGTGTTAGAAGCATGGCTTTATGGAAACAATAACAAGAATAAAATCCTGGACTGGACCATTTATCACTTCTGATCACTAAATACAAAAGGAGTCCAAGGTAAACCAGGTCTGTAGATTGCCCATGGTGGACTTCTTATGCCTCTAGAACATACATAAACAAAATCTCTGTTCTACGCAGGTCACCATTTCTTTGCAAAGAACCTTTTCTCTGAGCGTGAAGGGGCTGCCTGTGGCTGAGGGCTGTGATAGAAGGAATGAGACACTTGACTGGTTTCTTCCTTCAGGAAACTAGGGAGACAACAATGGTGCTGGGTAAAGTCCAGGATCCTCAGATTGCAATAGGAGCTTGAGAGGCTGCAGCCAAAGCTAAGAAGCTCTGCTGAGGCAATTTCACTGCTAGCAAGGTAGCAATGCCTTTTTAGTTATAGGACTTATCTGAAAATGAAGATTTAAGGTAATAGCTAACACTATATTTACCTTTTGTTATTGTTGTGCTGGGGGTACATCTTAACTTCTTTATAAACTATCAAACTGGAAAGCTACTTATAACCTTGGGTCTTTCAAAACTGTTGCCTCTTTGTTTCCATTTCTTCCATCAGTCTGTGCTGCAGTGGTTTGTAACTTCTCTGGGCCAGTTGTTTTACATTACTGCCCCTCTCACAAGGAAGCAAAAAACTTGCCCTGAACCACCCAGAAAGGGTTCATTCTCTCCCAATCCTTCTTGTTATTCGCATTATCATGGCCAACAAATGCTTCCACAAAAACATTCTGAGCCATACAGGGCCCTCCTCCTTCTTAGACATTCCTTCCATTTCCTGAGGGGGCTGGGCAGGCAGAGGGATGGCTGGAACTTAACAAAGGCAGGACTCCTGGTTGTCCTCCAGAGGTGAAGGACCACTGCAGAGTTTAGATGGCCAAATTCAAAGTACTGAATTGAGTTGCTGTTTGCAGTTGTAATGACTTCAAGGTTAACACTTTGAAATTCATATCTCCTCAAAGTGCCTCAAATAACAATAATAAAAATGCCAAGAATGAAGTTAGTCTAGGCTAATCTTTCTGAAGTGTAAAGAAGTTATAATCCCACAATTTAACATACTTCTCAAGGCTTTGTGTGTTCTCTTTCCAGTTCAGCCAAGCTCCTGGGGTCTGGTATTTAAAATACTTGAATTGTATCTTTACTTTGTGCCAACTAAAAAACTTTTCAAAAGAATGGAAAAATACTCATAATTCAAACGTACAAAATGGTTTATAACTTAAAAGATACAAGTGAGGATTATCGTATAGTAGATAAAGCTGCATACATTCACCACACAAAGGATCGGACACCAGGATGGATGGCTACTACAGAACAATGCATTCTGGGTTCCTTTGTAATACCTGGAGCAAAAAAAAAAAAAGCCTGAATGGGTTACACTATATTTACATGTTTACTGGCTTCTTCCTGACTAGCACCATTCTCCCCACCCAAAGCCCCAACACTTTTAAGCTACTTATTTTAAGTCACAGGAATATTCAATCTAAGAAAAGTATCTTATTAGAGTAATATAATTTCTTAAAGAAGATAGCATATTTACACACATCTAACACATGAAAATACTCTATTTTATACTAAATTCAGGTTCAAATGAACTACAATACTGCATTTTGCCTTGTCTGCAAAGTGAAGATTGCTCAAACTGGGGCTTGCAGTGGGCTGCCCCCTGAAGTGACAAGTCCAAATCAGTCCCCATAGTTAGGGAAGGTTAAAGAGCCAGAGGTTGGGACTGGATTTCTAGCAGTTGGTTTATACATCCACTCCTTTGATGAGAGATCCTTCTAAGATGATGGTAAAGTCCTGAATGGTCTGCAGAATTCGGATAAGGGAGTTGACAGTCATTCGGTCTCGCAGCAGCGCGCTCTCCTCATACATTCGAGTGATGGCAGGACACTCTGCTAACAATGGAATCCACTGGGGAAGCAGATGATCCCTACAGACCCAAACAGAAATAACACAACGTCTGAGCACTTAAGGGCCTCACTACATAACATACACATACTGGGTGCTTTCACCTCAGAAGGTGTGGTACTGGATGGTGCAAAATCTAGTCACGCTCTGAGGGCAGAAGAAAGAAAACAAAGAAGTTGGATACTCACTGGTAAAAAAGACAGTAATCAGAGCGTAAAGCTAATAGAAAAATCTATCAGATTCTAAAAGTATATTACCAAGTCTACGAACATTAAAGAAACTTTCTATTCTGATTTTTCCACTTTTAGAAGAAGTAGGGTTAGGGATCATGGCAAATGCTTGTACTACCAGCACTTGGAAAGTGGAGGCAGGAGGGAGGCTGAGGCAGGAGATCACAAGTTTGAGATCAGCCTGTCCCAAAAAACAAACCCAAAAGAGGTAGGGGAACCTGGATGTGGCTCAACAGTAGAGTGCTTCCCTAGCATATGAGCCCTCCACACCCCCAGTATTGTAAAAACAAAGGACAACATAAAGATAGAATGTCATTTTCCACATCTTTTTTTTTTTTTTTTTTGCAGTACTGGGGCTTGAACTCAGGGCCTTCACCTTGAGCCACTCCACCAGCCCATTTTTGTGAAGGGTTTTGTTGAGATAGGGTGTCGTGGAACTATTTGTCCAGGCTGGCTTTTGAACCATGATCCTCCTGAGTAGCTAGGATTATAGGCGTGAGACACCAGTGCCCCGGCCTTTTTTTTTTTTTTTTTTTTTGAGAAGGTGGCTTACTGTGTAGCTCAGGCTGGCCTTGAACTTACATTCCTTCCTGCCTCAGTCTCCTAAATGCTAGGATCAGTGCTTACGTATGTTCTTTTGTTTTTTTACTGTTTGTTTGTTTTGAGACAGGGTCTTGCTAAGTAGCCCCAGGCTGGCCTGGAACTTGTGATCCTCTTGCCTTTACCTACTGGTGCTGGGATTACAGATATGTAGACATGTGCTACCAGGCCCAGCTCTCTACATGTTTTTTTTTTTTAAAACAAAGGTAGTATTCTGTAGCAAAGTCTGCCCAGAGTACTTGGGCCTTTGGGGAAAAAACACTACATTAAATAGTAGGGATTTCTTGCTGTTTTTTTTTTTTTTTTGTGGTATTGGGAATTGAACCCAGTGTCCTGTGCATGCTAGACAAGCACTCTATCACTGATTTAGATACCTAGCCCTCCTTTAAAAAATATCATTCAATAAAATGAACAAAATCAAAACAGAAAAACATTTAAGTAGATTTTGTAACCTAGAAGGTTTGCATTGGTCTAATAAATTGGAACAATATAGAGATAAGAGGAGATAAAGATTACACTTAAAAAGCACAGCTGAACTTGTCCACCCCTTCCCTCACCTTTTAAAAAAGAAATACAGAACTTAGTTCTATAACTGAGCTGTTTTAGGACATAATCTCAGGTCTTCTGTGTTTCCTAATCAACCCTGGTAATTGGCTAAAACCTACAACATCCTCACTGAGCATCCCTCAATATGCCTTTCATGACAAGGACACCTAAAACCAGGCCATCCTGATTCTCAAGTTGGGGCTCTCAAAGTTTAGGAAAAAATAAGCACTACAGAGATAAATTTAAAAAAGAAAAATCTTCTAAAGGTCCATGTGTTTCACTTCCTGTAACTGTGAGAACTGTTTTAAAAATCAGTAAATTATACAGTTTCTATGTGCCATTTCAAAAACAAAGGGGTAGGCATGGGGTGTAGGTTAGTGGTAGAGCATGTCCCAGGTACTAGGTTTGATCCCCAGCACCACAAAAACATAAGATTAAATAAAAACTAAAGGGGTAGGAAATAGTCTTAAAGAGAAGACGCTACTTATACAGTAGGAATGCCACAGTATCACCAGATTTAAAGCAATATGGTGGCATAGATACTCTACACAGTAAATACATGTGTGTGCATGTGTTGGTGTGTCTAACTGCCCACTAACCTACTTACTTATTATCTACTTACATATCTTTGGAGCTAGCAAAGATATGACCCTGGGCTCCAGAATGGGAATGGATGTGAATTTTGGCTTTTCCTCTTTATTTTCTGGCACTGGGGATTACACCTCAGGGATGAGTTCTTGGTAGGCAAGAGCTCACTACTTGAGAACCATGCCCCCAGCCCTCTTCTTTCTTGCTATGTGCCCTTGGGAAAATCTGCTAACTTATTGTGTGTCTTCATCTATTTCCTATTCTTTCATCTGTAAGATGTGGAACTCAGTTGCTACTTCATGTGGTGGTAGTGGTAAAGTGTCAGGAAGATACCCAGAAAAAAGTAGTTTCATAATAAAAGTTAGAATGACAGAAACCCAGGAAAGATTTATGGAAGGGGCAAGATCTGGTACAGCCCTTTCTGGACTGTTGTCCAACACGTAACAAAAATAAGGGAAGTAAAAAACTGGCTTTTTACCGTGTTCCAAGGCAAACTAAAATCTGGAATTTGCCATCCTTCCCAATGTTCCTAGGTGCAGTATTAATAGCATTCACATAGTGACAGAAGGTTTTGCAGGATGACTTCTGAATAAGGACATCATCTTCGTTGTCTAGAATCTGGTCAGTGGTTTCAAAATAAGCAACCGCTCTCTCTGGGGAAGGGAAAGCAGAATCTATTGCAATACCTGTCAACACACTTCACTTACAGAAAGGTTCATCACTTAATTTACTTTGGAAACGCTGACAAGGCTTTGGGTTATAGCTAGCCCTTTCACCCAAATCATTATTTTATCACTGACTTGAGAATGAGCTCTAGAGGTTCATGTGTCATGGCGAACAATATGCTCACAGGAACTTATTCTTCTAATTAAGGCTGTATTCCAGAAGGAGGGAAAATGGCTCTGGGGTTTAAACCTATAACCTTGTGCATGCTAGGCAAGCATTCTACCACTGACCTATATCCTCAGTCCATTGAAAAAAATTATCAGCATATATTAATTGTAGAGAAGAATTTCATTGTGGTATTTCACAGATGCACAAAATGGTCTGATCAAATTCACCTCCCTCTAATACTCTTTCTTAAGCCTCCTTTTAAACAATTTTTAATGGATTTTTAAATGTGTGCATGAAATGAAGCACCTCAATCATATTCATCCCTGCTTTGTTCTCTTACCTCCTCCTGGTTTCCAAACAGTCCCCTCATCTTAACACTCATGTCATTTATTTTTTATTTATTTTTAGTTCTAGATTGCATGAGAGAGAGAACACGTGGTATTTATCTTTCTCAATTTGTATTATTCCATCCATATTCCTGCAAATAACATTTTGTTCTTCTTTATGGCTGAATAATATTCCATTGTCTACATATGCCATTTTTTCTTTATTCATTCAACTGTTGCTAGGCAGCTAGGCTGATTCCATTGCTTGGTTATTGTGACTAGTGCTGCAATAAACATGGCTGTGCAGATATCTGTGTTGTGTGCTTATCCTTTGGATATATGCCTAAGAGTGGTATAGTAGGTAGTTCTATTTTTAGGTTTTTACAGAGCCATCATATTGATCTCCATAGTGGCTGTACTATGTACAGCCCTACCCACAGTGTGTAAGGGTTCTTCCCTTTCCTTCATCTTTGCCAGCAATTTTTTTGCTTTGGGTTGGTGGTACTAGGGTTTGCTGGTTTGTGCTCAGGGCCTCACACTTGCTAGGCAGGTGCTCTACCACCTGAGTCATTCAGTCAGCCCTTTTTGTGTTGTTTACTTTCAAGACAGGGTCTCTTGGAACTATTTGCCCTGGGCTGACTTCGAAGCTTGATCCTCCTGATCTCTGCACAGGATTACAGTTGAGAGCCATCTGTGCCTGGCAATTGTTGTTATTTGTTTTCTTGATGACAGCTATTCTGACTGGGATGAGTTTTAACTTGCATTTCCTTTATCTCAGCTGCGTTTTTAAAATTTTATTTTTAGACAGAGTCTTACTAAGTTGCCCAGGAGCTTGGAAATTACTATGGAGCCTAGCTGGCCTTAAACTTTTGATTCTCCTATGTTGAGATTACAGATGAGTGCCGCCACACCTGGCTGCTTATTCTCTTTAAAATCCCTCCGTGAAATGGAATTAGCCATTGATATGGTATTCTCTGCCCTAGGACACTGCCTGACACTCTGCAAGGAGGTCCTTGACATGGGCGTCACTGTGTGAGCTCAAGAAGAGACTATACCAGAGAGGAGCAGTCAGATTCTGGTCATTTCAGAAGGAAAAATCACTCCTGGGGACCTCGCTCTGTTAACTTTCTTTTCCTTGCCTGAAAATTTTGGGTTAAATGAAATCAGTAACTACTTCATCTAGGCCTTATTAACAAAACACAAAATTATTAACTACATTTAAAAAAAAAACTGAGAATTTTAAAAAAGAAAGACCACAAACCTTAACAGGCTGGAGCAGCGCACCCCAATAGAGTGTTCTGTGGAAATGCTCTGTATTAACGAGGTCCATTTGGTTGCCACTAGACACACGAGGCTACTGAGCACTTGAAATGTGGCTGGTGTGACTAAGAATGTAAATTTTAAATTTAACTTAAATTAAATCAATTTAAATAGCCACGTGTGGCCAGTGGTTACCATACTGGAAAACAAAGCTAGAGAAGTCCTTTTATTTTTCAAAATATCTATCATCCATCCATCCATCTATCCATCCATTTGCCTATCTATTTAGCATTTGCTTGACAGGCACTCCACCACTTGAGTCATTTCACCTGCTTAGATAAATCCTTTTTTAAAAAAATAAATTGTGTCATGTCATGCCTCATCTCAAGGCCTTCCAATGGCTTCCATTTCATTCAGGATAAAGGCCAATGTCCTATAGGGCCCTGGCACTAAACATGCCTGCCCCCAATCTCATCGTGCATGCTCTCTCCCTCCCTCCCAGGGGTCTTCTGTGGCTCTATGGGAAGGACAAAATTTCATTTCCAGGCCTGGCCACTGGCCATTCTTTCCTCCTTGGAGTGCCCTCTCAGGTATCACATACTTCACTTTCTCACCTGCTTAACATCTTGACACCAATGTCACCTTGTCAATAAAGCCTATAAACATGCCACAGAACATTCTCCACTCCATTTGCTTAATTTTTCTCCAGATTAATGATCACCTACCCATATACCATATGAATTACATTTCTGTTAAGGTTTTGTGTACTGTTTGTTCCTCCATCTCCTCCAGATTAGAGGTTTGTCCATGGTGGGGTTTCTGTCTACTGTGTTTATTGATATATATCTCAAGCATCTGGAGCAGTGTTTGGAATTTTGTGCACATTACAAATATTTGTTGAGTGAATGAAAAACAAAGATAATGCTTATTTGATATTTATTTTAAAAAACATACTCCCTGATCATTAATCCTTATTTATTCAAATTTCTGGGTCTCCTGAGTTTTCTAAGACATATTTCAATAACCTTATAATAACAAACATCTGCTTAATTTACCTACAAAGTCCCAGATGAAGACATTCTTGTGAAAAATGCGGGCAGATTTGAATCCATGGTGGAAAACTTGCTCCAGTGCTGCCACCAGGCCATTTTCTCCACATAGCAGTACCGTGAGACTTCCTCTCTGTGAAGCATAACACACAGTGCAAGGAAAATCTGCTGTCTCTATGCTTAAGAAAAACACTAAAGAAACAAGTGCAGAGGGTAGCATGTTTTTGCAGCTATTAGAAAGCTTACAAATGAAAATTAAGGCACCCATATTGCCTTATGTATCACATACAAAAGTCACACTATACTTTTTATAGCCCATAATACCTCTTTTTCAGGTTTGTGAAAATGTTTCACAATATTGTTCACAGCTTCTCCAATTCCTTCTTGGATCTGTCCAGCATTGGGTTCTGTAAAATAATGAATAGTGGCTGCATTCTCACGAGAAAAAAATAAAGTATTATCGGGTAGTAATGATGCCCATTCTGGAGCAGGCTGGTTCTGCCAGGGGCTCCATGAAACTTGCCTCTGGATAGTCTGACCAAGAGGGAGGCATTTTGGCATAAGGGGAAAGAATCCAAAAGATCCGTAGATTCAAATATATCAGCCTTACCACCTGCAACCCCTAATCTAAGCCAAGTGCTTGATTTCCTGACTTTTTTCAACTGAAACAGGGAAAGCACGCACCTGACTGGGAAAAATCACCTGGCATGGTGCCTGTCATAAAGTGCTAATGAGTCTCCAGATCTGAGGAGCCAGATGGGGAAGACCCCATCATCATTCTTCAGATGTTCCATATGTCTGAGCCCCTGAGTAGGCTTAGGCCAAGGCTTCTGAGGCTCAGAATGGTCTCAGTGTGAAGTTTTGCTGTTGTGTCCAAAGAGAGGATGCCAGGTACTATGTGGCATTCCAGCCCAAAGCTCAGGACTCCTTTCCTTTTTTGGCTAGTCAGTCTGTGTCCGTTCATTCTCTCAGCCAGTATCTACTCATGTAAGGCCACTTTCTAGAAGGAGAGCCTGCTGGGTTGCTTGAATAGAATAGGATCTAAACTGTATCAGCTCACCAACATTTAAAAGAAATAATAGTAAGCAAATTTCATCTAGAGTCAGAAGTAGTTAACAAGAAAAATGTGTTTTGGTGTTTTCTTGTGGTGAATAACTATTAGACCTAATTCCTTACCGTCTTATAAAGGAAAAAATCTATACATTATACTGTTTAAGATTCTCGGAGTTCATATTGCTGGAGGATTTCTTTTTCTTTTTCAGTGCTGGGGGACAGAACCCAGGGCTTCAGGCATGCTAGGCACAGCCATATCCCCAGCCCCTACTGGAGGATTTTTTACATAAAACAGTCTTTTAGGTAAAATTTGAACAAGGTTTTTCTAAAAACCCAAAACAAAACAAACAAACAAACAAAACAAAAAAACCCGATGTGTAAGATTTGTTCAAATGAAAATGTTTATGATTGAAGACTGATAAATGGCTTGTATAGCTTTTACTTCTGACCCTAGATGAAATGTGGATACCATTTTTTTTTTTTAAACCATTCTTGTGGTGTTTGGTGGGCCAATGCAGTTTAGGTCCTATTCAGGCAGCCTATCAGAAGTTCCTTAACCTAGCAGTTATTTATTTATTTTTTAAGTTTTACCCTGCTCTGAATATTTTTTCCTTGAAACATCAGGTCTACTTTAAAAGCTTTTATTCATTCCAAAACAGCCTACACCAATCAGTAGTATTTTGAAATGTACTGAAAACTTTTAGTTCTCTGAATGTCACCTTGCACATATTGTGAAAAACTACTTCTTCTCTGAGTTGTGGGTTATTTAAACTTTACTCTTTATTGTGTAAGGAAAGAAAGAAAATCTGAGCAAAAATGGGGGATGATGGCTTCCTTTCAGCATACCCCATAAGATTGGGAAACTGCAATAATTTGGATGGAAGTACAATCTACTTTTTAAATAAATAAATTTTCTTTTGGGAGCTGGGGGTCAAACCAACAGAGCCCTGCTAAGCATGAGCTCTATCACTGAGCTACACCCCTACTTCTTTCCGTCCCCTTTTAAATTCTCTTTGCCCAAAATGAAAAACAAACAAACAAAAAATTAAATAAAGTCTCTTGTTCCAAATTAATTTTCTATTTGAATCTCCTCACTGTAACACAATGCAATCACTTCTATGATATGGTAACATGACGCCTGCAACATCTGAGGCACACTAAAATAAAATCAACTACTCACTGGCAGTTTTCCCAGTCAGTGAAGTGATGCTCAGTCTCCGAGCTGTGGTGGGTGACTTCTGCTGAGGGGGCGTCCGACACTGCTTGACCAGGTCCTCATCTGAGGCAGAAGTTATCAGCTCTCCAATGAGAATTCTCTCCAGGCTCCCATCATCAATGCCTTTCCCCAGCCACCGCCCACATGGGAATCTAATAGGGTAGGAAAAAACTGAGTCATCAATTTTTTTCGTGGTATTGGGGTTGAACTCAGAGCTTCATACTTGTTAGGGAGGCACTCTACCACTTGAACCATGCCTCCAGCCCTTCTAATTTTAGTTAGAGGCTTAAAATTGGTACCACGGTGAAACCATCATTAGATTATTTAATTACAAAAATTCTCAAAAATATAGAAAAGAAAAGTATATTAGACACCATATTTTTATCACAGAATTAATGTTTTGTTGTGTGCTTCATTTGGTGGTTGTTTTTGAAGTATTTTACATGAAATTATGACATTAGGACATTTCATTCCATGAAACACTCCAGCATGAACCTCTGAAGAATAAGAACATTTTTCTACATAGCCAGAAATTATCACCCCCAAATTAAAATATTTAAAAATTTCTTATACCTAGTCTATATTATAATTCTCTGGTTAGTTTTGGACAGAATATTTTCAAACCAGAAATTTAAAGTGGGAGTTAAATCACAGGAGAAGAGCATGTTCACATGGGGAAGGGTTTACAGTGACTGGTAGGATCCAAAAGATCTTTTCCCTGTATCAAATTTATTTATGCGGTACTGGGGTTTGAACTTAGGGCCGACACCTGGAGCCACTCCACCAGACCTCTGAGCCAGGGTCTCCTGAACTATTTGCCTGGGCTGACTTTGAACCTTGATTCTCCTGATCTCTGCCTCCTAAACAGCTAGGATTACAGGCGTGAGCCACCAGTGCCCGGCTCACAATTACTTTAAGCCTGCTTTTTGTTGTGGTTGTTTTTTGGTTTTGGGACAGGGTCTTGCCCAGGTTGGCATCTAACTCATAGTCTCCCTGTCTCAACCTCCTGAATGCTGGGATTACAGGCATATAATACCATGCCCAGCTTCTTAAATTTCTTTTCTCTCTCCTTTTGTTCATAGTTATGCCAATCTTTTTCAGCACTTGTGGGCTAATTAGTACCAAATACAACATCTTTTTTTCAAGAATTTTTGGAGACTTCGTATTACATAAACAAAACAATATACTCCAAACAAGTAAAGTTCAGAAGGCAATGGAGTGCTGCATAGCTCAAGTGGCAGACCACTTGCTAGTGTGAGACCCTGAATTCAAACCTCAGTACTGCCAAAAACCAAAGCAAAACAAAAAGAAAAAAGGATGGCAGTAGAAGGCTTTAGAAGAAAACAATTTAAAACCTTTTGTTATCTACACAGCTTCAGAACAGAGAACTCTGCTCCTATGGCTATTTACTTACCTGTATGTATGTCCTGTGATTTCATTTCTGACCATGACACAATCCACTAGCCATTTGGCTAACAGTCCAGAGTTATCATGACCAATCTGAACAGTGGTGAGCTTCCCCAAGTTCTGACACTGAAGAGATAGGATCACAGGTTATTCAGGACCTGATCTTGTCCTGATCCCCTCAAGTTTAGTGGTGGAACTTCGGTTCCATCTACAAAATGCAGAGATCTACCCTGCATAATGGGCTAAGCTATGTCCTAGAGAAATGCATCCACATGTATTTCTTGCCCTCAGGGAGCCCTCACACAGTGGGACAGGAGACATATGGACATTTACTACCTAACAAGGTGGACTACACAAGAGCTAGACTAGAAATGTAAACAAGTGCTAGAAGAATGCTGCAGAAGGAATAGTTACTTCTATTTGGGGAACCAGAAACATTACTGAGACAGTGATTTGTGATTTCTGCCTTGAAGGATGAGAAGAATTTTGATAAGTGGGAAAAGGTGCTATTCAGATTGACTTACATAGAGGATATCAAAACAACTATAGACTAAAAAAAAAAAATCACAAACATTGGTATTTTCCTATTTTTAATAAGGGGAAGATGAAGCTCAGTGGTAAAGCTCTTGTGTAGTATATGCAAGGCCCTGGGTTTGATTCCCAGCACTGAAAAATAAAAAAAAAAAAAGAAAATATTAAGGTAGAAATGACATGAAACTTCATTCTCTAGAAGTCTGTGAAGCTATTTATAAAAAATGGCATACAGCAGTCTCCCCTTTCTACAGGAGTTACACATTCTAATATCCCCAGTGGGTGCATGAAACTGACATAGTACCAAACCTTACATATATTACTTTTTTTCCTGTATGCTTTGCCACACTGCTATATAGTACCAAAGTTAATCTGTCCTTCCATATTTTATGCCCTAGTGCCTCCTTTGCTTCATTACTCTTGTGCTTTCTGACTATCATTAAGCAAAATAAGGGTTACACACGTATAAGCAACTGCAGTACCTCAAGAGTTGATCTGATAAATGCTTATTCACTAATGGGTAGGTAGTATATACTGTATGGATATGGGATGATTCACTTCCTAGGCAAGAAAGCATAAGATCTTCTCCTGCTACTCAGAATGGTACACAGTTTAAAACTTATGAACTGTGGGCTGGGTTGTAGCTCAATGCTGTTTTTTTTTTTTTTTATTATTATTCATATGTGCATACAAGGCTTGGTCATTTCTCCCCCTGCCCCCACCCCCTCCCTTACCACCCACTCCCCCTCCCTCCCCCCCCTCAATACCCAGCAGAAACTATTTTGCCCTTATTTCTTTGTTGTAGAGAGAGTATAAGCAATAATAGGAAGGAACAAGGGTTTTTGCTGGTTGAGATAAGGATAGCTATACAGGGAGTTGACTCACATTGATTTCCTGTGCGTGTGTTACCTTCTAGGTTAATTCTTTTTGATCTCACCTTTTCTCTAGTTCCTGGTCCCCTTTTCCTATTGGCCTCAGTTGCTTTTAAAGTATCTGCTTTAGTTTCTCTGCGTTAAGGGCAACAAATGCAAACTAATTTTTTAGGTGTCTTACCTATCCTCACACCTCCCTTGTGTGCTCTCGCTTTTATCATGTGCTCAAGTCCAATCCCCTTGTTGTGTTTGCCCTTGATCTAATGTCCACATATGAGGGAGAACATACGATTTTTGGTCTTTTGGGCCAGGCTAACCTCACTCAGAATGATGTTCTCCAATACCATCCATTTACCAGTGAATGGTAACATTTTGTTCTTCTTCATGGCTGCATAAAATTCCATTGTGTATAGATACCACATTTTCTTAATCCATTCGTCAGTGGTGGGGCATCTTGGCTGTTTCCATAACTTGGCTATGGTGTGGTAAATAGTGTCGCAATAAACATGGGTGTGCAGGTGCCTCTGGAGTAACCTGTGTCACAGTCTTTTGGGTATATCCCCAAGAGTGGTATTGCTGGATCAAATGGTAGATCATGTCAGCTTTTTAAGTAGCCTCCAAATTTTTTTCCAGAGTGGTTGTACTAGTTACATTCCCACCAACAGTGTAAGAGGGTTCCTTTTTCCCCGCATCCTCGCCAACACCTGTTGTTGGTGGTGTTGCTGATGATGGCTATTCTAACAGGGGTGAGGTGGAATCTTAGTGTGGTTTTAATTTGCATTTCCTTTATTGCTAGAGATGGTGAGCATTTTTTCATGTGTTTTTTGGCCATTTGAATTTCTTCTTTTGAGAAAGTTCTGTTTAGTTCACTGCCCATTTCTTTATTGGTTCATTAGTTTTGGGAGAATTTAGTTTTTTAAGTTCCCTATATATTCTGGTTATCAGTCCTTTGTCTGATGTATAGCTGGCAAATATTTTCTCCCACTCTGTGGGTGTTCTCTTCAGTTTAGAGACCATTTCTTTTGATGAACAGAAGCTTTTTAGTTTTATGAGGTCCCATTTATCTATGCTATCTCTTAGTTGCTGTGCTGCTGGGGTTTCATTGAGAAAGTTCTTACCTATACCTACTAACTCCAGAGTATTTCCTACTCTTTCTGTATCAACTTTAGAGTTTGGGTCTGATATTAAGATCCTTGATCCATTTTGAGTTAATCTTGGTATAGGGTGATATACATGGATCTAGTTTCAGTTTTTTGCAGACTGCTAACCAGTTTTCCCAGCAGTTTTTGTTGAAGAGGCTGCTATTTCTCCATCGTATATTTTTAGCTCCTTTGTCAAAGACAAGTTGGTTATAGTTGTGTGGCTTCATATCTGGGTCCTCTATTCTGTTCCACTGGTCTTCATGTCTGTTTTTGTGCCAGTACCATGCTGTTTTTATTGTTATTGCTTTGTAATATAGTTTGAAGTCAGGTATTGTGATACCTCCTGCATTGTTCTTTTGACTGAGTATTGCCTTGGCTATTCGTGGCCTCTTGTGTTTCCATATAAATTTCACAGTAGATTTTTCAATCTCTTTAATGAATGTCATTGGAATTTTGATGGGAATTGCATTAAACATGTAGATTACTTTTGGGAGTATCGACATTTTTACTATGTTGATTCTACCAATCCATGAGCATGGGAGATCTCTCCACTTTCTATAGTCTTCCTCAATCTCTTTCTTCAGAAGTGTATAGTTTTCCTTGTAGAGGTCTTTCACATCTTTTGTTAGGTTTACACCTAGGTATTTGATTTTTTTTGAGGCTATTGTAAATGGAATTGTTTTCATACATTCTTTTTCAGTTTGCTCATTGTTAGTGTATAGAAATGCTAATGATTTTTCTATGTTGATTTTATATCCTGCTACCTTGCTATAGCTATTGATGATGTCTAGAAGCTTCTGAGTAGAGTTTTTTGGGTCTTTAAGGTATAGGATCATGTCGTCTGCAAATAGGGATATTTTGACAGTTTCTTTACCTATTTGTATTCCTTTTATTCCTTCTTCTTGCCTAATTGCTCTGGCTAGGAATTCCAGTACTATGTTGAATAGGAGTGGAGATAGTGGGCATCCTTGTCTGGTTCCTGATTTTAGAGGGAATGGTTTCAGTTTTTCTCCGTTAAGTATAATGCTGGCTGTAGGTTTGTCATATATAGCTTTTATAATGTTGAGGTACTTTCCTTCTATTCCTAGTTTTCTTAGAGCTTTTATCATGAAATGACGTTGGATCTTATCAAAGGCTTTTTCTGCATCTATTGAGATGATCAAGTGGTTTTTGTCTTTGCTTCTATTAATGTGGTTTATTACGTTTATTGATTTTCATATGTTGAACCACCCCTGCATCCCTGGGATGAAGCCTACTTGGTCGTGGTGAATAATCTTTTTGATGTGTTGTTGAATTCGGTTTGCCATTATTTTGTTGAGGTTTTTTGTATCAATGTTCATTAAGGAGATTGGCCTATAGTTCTCCTTTTTGGAGGTGTCTTTGCCTGGTTTTGGGATAAATGTAATACTGGCTTCATAAAATGTGTTTGGCAGTTTTCCTTCCCTTTCTATTTCGTGGAACAGTTTATGTAGCTCAATGTTAGAACACTTGCCTGTCATGTTGGAGGCCTTGAGTTTGGTTGAGGAACAGTGAAAACCAAAAAGCCCAAGAAAACAAAAGAACTTCCTCCCAACTTATAAACTGCTTATCTCTAGAGTTTTCCACTTAATATTTTTGGGCCACAGTTGACCATAAATAATAGAAACTGTAAAAAGTATAACTATGAATGTGGGGATACTACTGTAATAGGAAAAAAAAAGGGCCCTTTGTGGACAAGCACAAAATAAAGCAATGGTATTAGGAATTGTAAAAATAATGCTAATTAAGTTCTGTTAGACAGAAACATCAGAGTTGGGATATTTCTTTATATCTCAGAGAGAAGGCATTATAGTGACCCAGATGAGGGGGGAAGGCATTATTAATTTACTCACACAGAAGAAATGGAAAAAAGTAGGCTGATGTGTGTTAAGTGTTTGGAAATAGCAAGATAGTATTTATAACATAGTTTATGTTGTATAATTGATAGGCAAAGAAAAAAATCAAGGGTTTTACTCTTCCATACATAGAAGGCTGTGAGTCCACTATGCAAATAAAATTAAAATGAGTTCTTGGGGGAGTACTGTCACTCGTAAGTGCTATTCCTAGACCCCAAGGAACAGGAGAAGAGGACATTCTATTAGTGCCACTTCCCTCTGGAAGTATGAACAGATTTTCTTCCTGCATGTGAGGATCAAGACACATTGGAAAGCATTTATTCCAATGTTATTTGCTTGTGTCAGGTACTAGGAACCATGGAACAGGACCTGGTAAAGCCATTACAAGTAGAAAAATAGAACTTAATTAAAATAATGATAAAAATATTAAGACAAATTAGTATCATCAGCTGCTTGAGCAAATATTAAGCATGTAACCACAGAAAGGATCCCACATGCTTACATGTTTCCTTACTTTATTTAATTCAAGGAGAAATGAAAAATCACTCTGTAGAACTGAATATGGTACTTTCTGTTAAGAAATATATTAGATGACCCACCTCAAAAGTCATCTCCAGGAGGTTTTTGGGAATCTGCATTACTCCTGTGTCTCCCAGTTCTCCCGATACACAGATCCAAGGATTTGATGTGATGATTGCATTGCTCAGCTTTTTAATTGGGATGATCACTGACCTGTATGGAATCACTGAAAGAAGAATGTGGACATTAATGAAAAATTACAATTCTCCTTTAATTATGTATGTGTATAACTATCTATAAAACAGCTGGTTTTCAGGGGTAGTTTGCTTTTATAATCCATCTTTTTAAGATATACTCATACAAAGAGATGAGATCATATATTCTTCCAATCTAGAAACATGAAGCCCAGGTTGTAAACCATAAGCCCTGATACTTGTGGAGGTTTTCATGACATATACATGTATGAGTGGCATTTGTATCACCATTAGGTTTATAAAAAACCTCAAGAGCCAGGCGCTGGTGGCTCACACCTGTAATCCTAGCTACTCAGGAGGCAACGATCAGGAGCATTGCAGTTTGAAGCTGACCTGGGCAAATAGTTCTGCAAGACCCTATCTCGAAAAACAAACCCTTCACAAAAAAGGATTGGTGGAGTGGCTCAAGGTGAAGGCCCTAGGTTCAAACCCCAGTACCACAAAAAACCACCTCAAGAAAACAACATGTAGATATGAACATCGTGCTATGTAGAGTTTTCAGTGCTTCACTTTTTTTGGTCGTATGGGCGTTTGAACTCAGGGCCTCACACTTGCAGGGTAGGCTCACTGCTTAATTTTTTAAAAATTAATCTTGTAAGAAAATTGAGTATAAATGAATACAGTTACTGAGAGAGCTTCATATGAAAAGAGGGGGTAGATGACATCCTTGGTTAGTCTCCCACTACTGCTGATTTTCTCAGGGAATGCTAGAAAGCACTGATCTTTAAGAACTTTCCATCCCTGTTATCAGCACAATATGCAAAGCCAAGAATAATAAACAATGGCACCTCCACTGTGAACATACCACCATAAATTCTACAAAGCTACAACTTGGAAAGTCTTTTTTTTTTTTTTTTTGAGATGGGGTCTTGATATGTCACTGAGGCTGTCCTTCAACTTGCAGTTCTTCTGCCTCCCTCTTCTGAATGCTGAAATTACAGCATATGCCACCATGTCTGGCAATTTGGAAAGGTATTAAGGTGACTCACATGCAAGAAGAATCTGGGGAAAGTCAAGATGTGGAAGATTATCTGTGAAGTTTTTTCTTCTGAAGGTTATTCTAAAGACCTGCCACTAGATGTCACCATCCTATCACAGGTCTTGGCTCAAATGTGGAAGTACAATAAAGTAACATATTACATGTTGACATGTACTTTTTTTTTTTTAATGAAAATGGCTCAAATACAGTAGCACATTTTTTGCTCATCAGAAGCATCTCTGTGTGTGTGTGTATATATACACATACATACACACATACATATGCAGGGTAGAATCAATGTTTTTTATTGGCGTCCTTGGAATTTCTACTGATTCAGACACAAGAGGGAAGTGTTGTGAGAAGCTGTCCTTGAAAGGTCTTACACATAGGATGAAAACCATTTATGGACAAGGTGCCCAGACATAGCCTCACAATATGAGCTCACAGTGAACTCTCAGATGAGGAAAATGAATGGGATAAATGGTTCATCTCCCTAATTTTACACAAATGACTTTCTTTATTTGAGTGAATAACCTTTCTGTTCTTTTACTTTGGCTGAAGGAAAGGAAAATGTCAGAGAAAAGGCCAATGCCATACTTTAACGGCTTAGTAAATATTAGAATCAAATGACTGTTGAAACTGAAAGTAGAAGAGGTTAGTTTAAGACTATTTTAGGTGCCAGAGGCTTCTTTCATTTCTTGCATTGATAGAATTAGAAAAGCTGCAGAAAAGGCCTGTTTGAGGTCAGCAGTTCTGAGCTGCAAAGGGCCACAGGGGCACAACAGTGATTTCACAGTTCAAGTATAAAAAAGCAGTATTATTAAACCCAGAATACTTCTTCCATGAAGTATCTCAATTCCTTGAACTGAAAGGATTTTCAGATGAAGAGAAACCTCCAGATACTAGGATCTTAGGAATCTTAAATAACCTAAATGACCTTTCTTCTCTTTTTTAAACTGTATATAACATCTTAGATTTTTTTTTTTTTTGAGACAGGGTCTCGCTATATAGCCAAAGCTGGTCTTGAACTTGTGATCCTCCTGCCTCAGTCTCCCAGGTGCTGGGATTACAGATGTGTATACCATGCCCAATTTACTCTACCACTGAGCCACACTCCTGCTCCCAACATCTTGGATTCTTATAGCCGTAGTAACTTAATAAACTAATAGTAGCTTTATAGATATTATAGGTTGGCCCTATTAATAGCTATTCCAACAACTCTTTTCTTTATGTCTCTATCAGAGACAAACCTTCATAATTCTGGCCAGTGAAATGTTAGTGGTACTTGTCATGGCTTTTAGAAAATGATGCCTTTCTAGCACAGATCCTGCAGATTTATGTGTTTCAGATAAGATACTAGAATATATATTTAATAAAACATTCCTTGCCACATCCATCTGAGGTAACATTTCCTATCACAGAAAGGTTTTGTAGAAAGCAGACTCTGATCAGAGAGGAGCACACACAATGCTCCTGGGATCCTCCTCTGGGGAGGAAAGCCAGTTTGATTGGAGGAGATGTTAAGCTGTGCGTCCCAGTGAGGCCCTCAGCTGCATGGTGAAGTGTGGGACAGCCCTTTTAATGAGTAGGAAAGATGTAGCAGGAGGGATGCAGGCTGGCCCTGGCAGGGGTTGGGGCCAGACCAGGAAGGCACTCCGATAGGCTGGCATGTCCAGCAGCACTCCCTGCAGCCAAAGTACCATTCATCCCTAAATGATGATCTGGGGGTCCAGCACAGTGTCCCCTTCACTATACTGGCAGGAGCACTTTTATCCATTAGTCACCTGAGAAACTCTTAACACTCAGTTCTCCAGACTTACTGATAGTGGTAAACACACTGGTGAAGCAGAAATAGTCCACAGCATTGAGGGAAAGAAGATGATAAAGAAACTGCTCTCTTTCCTCTTCACAACGCAGAAAAGCATAGCGCTTATACAGCTTCCTAAAAAGGTAAGATAAGCACAAAACAATAGTATTACAGCTTTCATTGTGTCTTGATTAAAATTAAACTACTCCAACAATGGGAAGAAACTTTAATCTTTTTTTTTTTCCATTTTTCTTTTATTATTCATATGTGCATACAAGGCTTGGGTCATTTCTCCCCCCTGCCCCCACCCCCTCCCTTACCACCCACTCCACACCCCCTCCCGCTCCCCCCCTCTCAATACTCAGCAGAAACTATTTTGCCCTTATCTCTAATTTTGTTGTAGAGAGAGTATAAGCAATAATAGGAAGGAACAAGGGGTTTTGCTGGTTGAGATAAGGATAGCTATACAGGGCATTGACTCACATTGATTTCCTGTGCGTGGGTGTTACCTTCTAGGTTAATTCTTTTTGATCTAACCTTTTCTCTAGTTCCTGGTCCCCTTTTCCTATTGGCCTCAGTTGCTTTAAGGTATCTGCTTTAGTTTCTCTGCATTAAGGGCAACAAATGCTAGCTAGTTTTTTAGGTGTCTTACCTATCCTCACCCCTCCCTTGTGTGCTCTCGCTTTTATCATGTGCTCATAGTCCAATCCCCTTGTTGTGTTTGCCCTTGATCTAATGTCCACATATGAGGGAGAACATACGATTTTTGGTCTTTTGGGCCAGGCTAACCTCACTCAGAATGATGTTCTCCAATTCCATCCATTTACCAGCGAATGATAACATTTCGTTCTTCTTCATGGCTGCATAAAATTCCATTGTGTATAGATACCACATTTTCTTAATCCATTCGTCAGTGTGGGGCATCTTGGCTGTTTCCATAACTTGGCTATTGTGAATAGTGCGCAATAAACATGGATGTGCAGGTGCCTCTGGAGTAACAGTCTTTTGGGTATATCCCCAAGAGTGGTATTGCTGGATCAAATGGTAGATCGATGTCAGCTTTTTAAGTAGCCTCCAAATTTTTTTCCAGAGTGGTTGTACTAGTCTACATTCCACCAACAGTGTAAGAGGGTTCCTTTTTCCCCGCATCCTCGCCAACACCTGTTGTTGGTGGTGTTGCTGATGATGGCTATTCTAACAGGGGTGAGGTGGAATCTTAGCGTGGTTTTAATTTGCATTTCCTTTATTGCTAGAGATGGTGAGCATTTTTTCATGTGTTTTCTGGCCATTTGAATTTCTTCTTTTGAGAAAGTTCTGTTTAGTTCACTTGCCCATTTCTTTATTGGTTCATTAGTTTTGGGAGAATTTAGTTTTTTAAGTTCCCTGTATATTCTGGTTATCAGTCCTTTGTCTGATGTATAATTGGCAAATATTTTCTCCCACTCTGTGGGTGTTCTCTTCAGTTTAGAGACCATTTCTTTTGATGAACAGAAGCTTTTTAGTTTTATGAGGTCCCATTATCTATGCTATCTCTTAGTTGCTGTGCTGCTGGGGTTTCATTGAGAAAGTTCTTACCTATACCTACTAACTCCAGAGTATTTCTACTCTTTCTTGTATCAACTTAAGAGTTTGGTCTGAATATTAAGATCCTTGATCCATTTTGAGTTAATCTTGGTATAGGGTGATATACATGGATCTAGTTTCAGTTTTTTGCAGACTGCTAACCAGTTTTCCCAGCAGTTTTTGTTGAAGAGGCTGCTATTTCTCCATCGTATATTTTTAGCTCCTTTGTCAAAGATAAGTTGCTCATAGTTGTGTGGCTTCATATCTGGATCCTCTATTCTGTTCCACTGGTCTTCATGTCTGTTTTTGTGCCAGTACCATGCTGTTTTTATTGTTATTGCTTTGTAATATAGTTTGAAGTCAGGTCTTGTGATACCTCCTGCATTGTTCTTTTGACTGAGTATTGCCTTGGCTATTCGTGGCCTCTTGTGAGAAACTTTAATCTTGAAGGAACAGATAATTCACAAAAATGGACATATACACAGTTAATAAAAAGCTGTTTTTTTTTTCAGTACCAGAGTTTGAACTCAGAGCCTCACACTTGCTAGGTAGGCACTCTACCACTTGAGCCATTCCACCAGCCCTTTTTCGTGTTGGATATTTTTGAGATAGAGTCTCACAAACTATTTGCCTGGGCTAGCCTCAAACTACAATCCTCCTGATCTCTGCCTCTTGAGTAGCTAGGATTACAGGCATGGGGCACTGGCACCTGACTAACAAAAACATTTATACCTAACTAGTAAAGGGGAAAAACATGAGTTAGTTTTGCATGTCAAACTAATAAAGATATAAAAGTGACGATCAGTGCTGACCAAGGAGTTGGTGAGCCATCATTTTCACAGCTGGGGAGACTGAAAATTTCAGGAAAGCAATTTATTGCTAACAATTATTCTAAACCAATCATATTTCTTAACTAATTTTTCTTTTAGAATTCAGTCTTAAGATTACAATATGAAATGTGGAAAAGATTTACATACAAATATCCACTCAAATGTTGCTTGTCAAGTAAAAATATTTTGGGCTAAGGTCTAGCCCTGGTTTCAATCCCCAGCACTGCCACCCTCATCCCCCAAAAAAGTTTCATGCTACATTAAAATGCTGGAATACTGTGTGGACATTAAGAATAAAGTTTAGGAAGAGTTGTAACAATAGCACAGATACTACTACTAAAAAAATTAAGTCACTTTTATTAAGTACTTACACTTGGGTGCTTTTCCAAGTGTTTTATAGGTATTAATATATTTAATTCTATGACCATCTGAGGTAAGTCTATTAGTATCCTCATTTTGTAGATGGGGAATACAGAGAGGTCCATGGTCGTTTAAATCATAGTTCACAAAGGCAGCATTTGAATACAAGCATCCAGTTTAAACTGTGCAGTGAAATGTTCATGATGTAATGTTGAGCTAAAAAAGGATGGTGCAGAATTGCAAATATAATACAATCTTAACTAAGAAGATATGAATAGAAGAAAGTACAGAAGCAAATGAGATGAGCAGTGTTGATCTTCAGGTCACAGGATTTTAAATGATTATCATTTTCTTCTTTGTACTTTGGTGACAGTGAGCATGAACAACATAATGGGGAAAAAAAAGTTTTAAAGAACAAGGTCAGGTTCACAGAGGTATGTCACATTGCATTTTTTTATCAAGCTTACTTTTTGGAGATTAAGACTCATTTATTCTAAAATGTTCCAGGGTAATGATAAGTACAAATGCTACAAGAACCAGTAGGTTATCAAGATGGGATTATAATAGATCATCATATTTGAGATCTTGGTTAGATTCTCTGCATATCTCTACTCCTGAGAACTCAAAGTCCTTAGCTTTTAAAGGAGCTCTAATGTCCCTATCTATATAATGCACTTCATCCAAAGGTTTCTTTATAAAGGGAAACTATCAAACCAGTTAACAATTAACTGACATGAGCTTGATCGGTTTTCTGGATCTCAACTATTGGAAGTAAGTATTGGCAAACCCTGAGAGAATCTTCTTCTGTAGACCCTGCCTCCAACCTATCTTTTACATGTTATTGTCAGCTTGTATGAACTAGGTTTTTTTCCCTCCTGATTACAGCACGGCAATCTAGTCTTTGGCTGCAAAATTTGGATGTGTTCTCACAGATATGATCAAGTATTATGTCAAGACAGAGTTTCTGAAGCACATGCCTGTTAGACAACAAAAATGCACGTGTACATTTATGCTGGAGATGCTAGTTTGTCAGCTTATATAATTTACTTTGTAAGCATAAAAGTCATAGGAACAGAAATGTCTCAAAAGACATCTTCTTACTTGGTGAGTGGTTGGTTAGAGAGCAACTGCTTGAGATGCTGGGACAAAAGCTTCTTTTCTAGAGACAATCTTATCCATGCCCGAGCTCGTCCAACATCGGTCTTGATCTCACTCATGTTTTGAATATGCCTATAAAAACAGTAGCAACAGTAAAGATACAGATTTTAAGGATAACCTTCAGCTAGAAAAGAACTAAAAACTAACAGAACTGGGCACAGAAAAGTTGTTTTATACTTAAGAGGAAGCAATGGGTAATAAACATACAATTTGAAGGCTGATTAAACCTCTAAAGATTCCATTTGAATCACAAAAAATTTTAGTCCTATGTCTATGGGACAGAATTCCCATTATAACATTAGTGCACAGGCAACATCTTAAGATGAATTAACACTCATTTACTTTTCAGGCTTTGTATTATTTAATTAATTTATTTTTGGTGGTACTGGGGTTTGAACTCAGAGCCTTGTGTTTGCTGGGTGGGCACTCTACCACTTGAGCTATAACTCCCTCTCATTTTTCAGGTTTTATTATGTCCTTGTTTCAGTGTCACAGATACTTACAGATGATTATTCCTGACCCTCAAGGAAATAAAACAATTTGAACAGTCAAGTTCTTACTTAAAATAATTTTCTATCATTTAAATATGTGCCACACTTTAAGCTACTGAAATATTTTTTAAAGTGAAATAGGCAATGTCCTCTTTAAAAAAATTTTTTTTATTAGCATATGATACACATACACAGGGGATTTTGTTGTGACATTCCTATAAATACATATATTAAACTCAAAATTGGTTTGTCCTTTCCATTATTCTCCCTACCACATTCCCCTTAAGGTGACTTCAGCAAGTTTCAATGTTCCACATTCATACCTGTATACAAAGCACATCAACCATATTAACCCTCCTTTACCCTTTTCATTTCCTCTCCCCTTTCTCTAATGCTCTCCCCTTAACATGACCTGTTTTACATTCCTGTCCTTCACTGTGTCTATTTGTTGTTTGGTTGGAGTTTTGCCTTGATATTTTACCTGTAGATATACTGTGCTTAAATCAGTCTAATCCCCTCCAATGCTCTTTCTCCCCCTTTTCCTTCTACCCTGTATTGTTCAACAGTTTCCTTGTGTCTCATTCCTATATAGATGTGATGCATTTCATTATTATTCACTCTCTATCATTCTTTTCTTTTTCTCCTCTTCCCTTAGGGTCCTCTAACAGTCCCAACTTTTGAAAACATGTTCTGTATATATTTCTATGTATAAACGATAATGCTTGTATTTGTACTGTATCTATCTTCCACATGTGAGAGAAGACATGCAAGTTTTGCCTTTATGAACCTGGCTAACTTCACTTACATTATGTTTTCCTACTTCATCCATTTGCCTGCAAAAGACAACTTCATTCTTCTTTATGGCTGAATAAAATTCCATTGTATATAAATACATTTTCTTAATACATTCATGAGTTGTAGGGCATCTGGGCTATTTCCATAGCTTGACTATTGTGACCAATGCTGCAATAAACATGGGTGTACAAATGTTTTTATTCTATCTTGACTTATATCTTATATTCCTTTGGATATATGCCTAGGAGTGGTACTGCTGGATCATATGGTAGCTATATATTTATATATATGTATTTTTGTGGTACTGGAATTTGAACTCAGGGCCTTCACCTTGAGCCATTCCACCAGCTTTTTTTTTTTTTTTTTGGGTTTTTTCTGAGACAGAGTCTTGTGAACTGTTTGCCTGGGCGGGGTTCAAACAGTGATTCTCCTGATCTCTGCCTCCTGAGTAGTTAGTTTTTTGAGGAGCCTCCATACTGTTTCTCATAGTGGTTGCACTAATGTACATTTCCACAACAGTGTATGAGTGTTCCTTCTTCCCCATTCCTCCCACATCCTTGCCAGCGTTTGTTGTTGTTCACGTTCTTGGTGATAACCTTTCTGACAGGAGTGAGGTGGAATCTTAATATGTTTTGGGGTTTTGATTTGCGTTTCCTTTATGGTCAAGGATGGTGAGCATTTCTTTATGTGTTTGTTGGTCATTTGTACTTCTTCCTTTGAAAAGCTCTGTTCTGTTCATTTGCCCATTTCTTCATTGGATCTTGATTCTTTGGTAGTTTAGTTTTTTGAGCTCTCTGTATATTCTGGTTTTTAATCACTTGTCAGATATATAGCTGGCTAAAATTTTCTCCCATTCTGTTGGCTGCCTCTTCAGTCTGGCAACAGTTTCCTTTTCCTGTGCAAAAGCTTTTTAGTTTCATGTAGTCCCATTTGTCAATCCTTTCTATTAGTTGCTGAACCACTGAAGTTCTATTTAGGAAGTTATTGCCCATGCCTACATATTCCAGGGTATTCCCTACTCTCTTTCTTGTGCTAGTTTCAAAATTATATTAAGGTACTTGATTCACTTTGAATTGGTATTTGTATAGGGTAAATGACATGAACCTAGTTTCTCTACTGAACTATTTTTCAAGTTGCCCAGATGTAAACTATAAAATCTAACTTTCTATGGCATTAGAGAAGTATAGCTATCCTATGTTGATGATCTTAAAAACTGAAGACTTGGAAAACTGTGGCCACATTACCAACTGAATGCTACATATGTATATAAATTAGTATTCTGTATAGAAGTCAATACTATATCCAGCAAGTCTGAATTTATCTTCCTCAATGATTTGCCTTCTGGAAAGGCAAGTCTAAGAGACAGAGTAAACTGGGATGAGTCACTGAAAAATCTTTGCTACTATGACCTACCATTTCTTCCTTTAATTTTTTAAAAAAATGTTCTGAATGTCTCATCCTGGCTGAAATAAAATACTGCAAGAAACCCTTCTCACTGCTGATTTTAAACATTAAGAGTAAGGAAACTCTTCCCTATAAATCCGGCTTCCCCTCACACCCTATCTCTGAATGTTAAGATGTAGGCCTGCAACCCTCAGTGGTGATATATGATCAAACACTCTTGATCCACAAGATGTAAAGGTAAAGCATTATATCACATCACAATGATATACTAGAGTGGCTAAAAAGAAATCAGAATGAGGAGATAAAAGAAAGTTCTGGTACTATTTTTGTGGAGGTTAGACAAAATCACCTTACCTCTAAGAATTTTTTTTTAGAATTTATAGCAGGGTTATTTTAAAGGAATTAATATCATTACATATGGTCATGAGCAGAGAAATCTAGTATCAATATGACTCTTCTTAGACTCTTACATTACAATGACAGTGGCAGTGTGGGACCCTTGGCAACCTAGATGGGCCTCCAGCCTCTAAAACAGCAGTGGCTGATCCTCAGATGACACAGGTGACTAAAAGAAGGCCTTAAACTTCAACTACTAATTTTTCTAATTTACTCCTTGAGATTTACTAATTGGAATGCTTCTGTAAAAAAGACCCTATCACTTGCTGAGCACTTTCTTATTTTCTGGCAAAAGATGCCCAGGACTCTTACTATACCTGTCTCTCTAGAAAACCATGGTTCGTTTCACTACAGAATGATATTTAGAAACCAGTATGTGGGTGGTGGGTATGCTCATGACTGTCAGGGGAGGGAATCAGCAGAGGGGTGACTGAAAAGAAGCATAGGGAGTTTTGGGATGATGGAATGAACTATTCTGCATTATGATTGTGCATTTATGAGGTCCATAAAACTACACACTAACAAAGAGTGAATTTTACCATACATAAATTTAGGAAACCGAAGCAAAACAAAACACCAGCCAGGATATGGAAGGTACCCAAAAAAAAGAATGTAATTGAATTACAAATAAACAATGCAACCATGAAGAGTGGAGAAAATAACTTAAGTTTTGGAAACTAGTATTTTGACTGAATTCTGAAAGGCTAACAGCAAAGCAAACTAGAACTACACACAGTGCTCTACTTAGTAAACTTGTTTCTCACAGTGGTATGGGTTGGCAATTCAAAAACAATTATCATGTATACACTAGAGTTGCCCAAATAAGTAAATATATTGTAGAAAAGGAGAACCAGATTTCTAATGGGTGGAGAAAGAAATTACAAATAAGGAAAGGTGAAAGGCTAGAACGATCCCCGTGGTATTGAACTGGAATCAGCAATATCATTATTAACTCACAGTTTGAAAATATATACACATACATACACACAAAGGTAGATAGATGTGTAACTCATGCAGCATGTAAGCATTAGTATACATTTACAGGCCTATTTGGGGTACTTTACATTTATTAATTCACTGAATCTTTATACCACATTTTGAAAAAAGTATTATTATTCTCATCTTATAGGTAAGAAAACTAAGAGTGTAATCACTTTCCTCAGGCTACAAAGCTAGTTAGTGGCAGAACTGAAGTACCAACCTTGGAAGGCTGCTTATAAAGTCCAAGGCTTTTTTTTCCTTCTGAATCAGGGTCTCATTATGTTGCCCATGCTGGTCTTGAACTCCTGGGCTTAAGTGGTTCTTCTGCCTCAGCCTCCCAAGTGCTGGTACTACAGGCAGGTACTACTGTGCCATGCCCAGAGCCCAATCTAGCATACTATACAGCCTCTTATAAAGAGAAGAGGGTGAATCTAAGCAGCACCACCCCTTTCTGCAACCAAACCAACACAACATAGATGAAAGTAAATAAACAGGAAACTGGAAGGAGCAGGGTAGCTTTATGTGCTGTTTGGCTTGAGGTCAGAGTTGCAAAGCTTTCACTAGCCACCGTTAAGGTGATGGCTACTGTGAAATCACTGCAGAGCACATGTGGTTTTACGTTTTTGCTAACACAGATGGGATCATTTTCTCCTCATAATTACACTGACTATCAAAAGGAATCATAAAATCCTAGCACTTGGGAGACTGAGGCAGGAGCATTGAAAGTTCGAGGCCGGTAGCCAGTATGGTGAGATTTTGTCTCTCCCCTGCCCCCCCTCCCAAAAAAAAAAGGAAAAAAAAAAAAGACTCATAAGCCACATAAGGATAACTACATTTCATTCACATGAAGCTGAGCACCAGTGGTTCACACTTGTAATCCTAGCTACTTGGGAGGCTGAGACTGGGAGGATTGCAGTTTAAGGCCAGGTAGGGCAAATAGTTTGTAAGGTTCTCAAGTCTAAAACAGCCAGGCCAAAATGGGCTGGAGGCATGGCTCAAGCACTAGCGTGTCTGCTTTGCAAGTACAGGGCCCTGACTTCAAACTCCAGTCCCACCAAACAAAATGTACATCTCAAATGTTTTATATACTAAAGTGTTTGTAGTGCATGCTTCCATTTATAAGTTCAAGACAAGTATTAGTAATCTAGAATGGCAGACCAGTCTCGAGTCTATATATCTAAATGCCTATAATAACCAGTAGAACATTAAGCACCACTTGGAATTCTTAAGAATTAAAAAAAAGTTGCAGAAGATTACACAGGTTGCAAGTGGTGAAGCCAGAGTGTGTTACCACCTCACTAGGGTGCCACTTGTTAAGAGTTACACTTTTGTGTTGCAAATATCTGACAAATCAAATAAACATCAATAATTAATAATAATGCAAACCATAAAAGTCACCAGTGCTATAGATGTTATACATTAATTTTAAACCCAGACATCTGAACAACTAAATATTAGCTGTTTAAAAGAAAAATGCCTTGTCTTCTTCATTCGAAAAATCAACTTAGATTCTTAATGCCTCTCAGGATTTTTAAGGCTAGTAAATGGGAAGTGAAATTTTCAGATCTGTATTTGCTTCCAATGAAATAAATCTATGTGACAGCAATTTTTCTTCCAAATAACTTGTTGCTATTTGCAGTTTTGTCTGCATTTATAGACAGTGGGTATTTAAGGGAGTTAACAAACAAACAAAACAAGTTGTAAAACAGTTGTATAGATATTTTAGAAAACTCAGGGCTGGTGGAGTGGCTCAAGTGATAGAATGTCTGCCTAGAAAATGTGAGGCCTTGAGTTTAAACCCTAGTACCACCAAAAAAAAAAAAAAAACAACCCCAAGGGCTTCTCAGTTGCATTTCCCTTTGGACATAACACCAGAAAAAAATATAGCAGTATAAAAGTAAAATAACCAAAATTATAAAATATACCTCATGTCTTGTATAAGAGAGACCCTGAGTGTAGGTAGTACAACTCCTGAGTCAGATTTTCTTCTTTCTGGTCCAAGGGCAACTGTGGGGATAAATATCAGAAAAGTATTAGAAAAATAAGAGTAAGAACTTAAAAAAACCTACTTGGTTCATATTCTATAAATACGTAATTTGATGTTGCTTTAATAAGAATAAAATTTTAAAGACAAAGAAAAGCTCAAATTTTTCATCCCAAGTGCTGCTACTTTATTTATAGTAAACCAGTTATTTTTTTTTTTTTCTAGCTAATATGTGGCTGCGACTAGAAATTTAAAATGGAGGCCAGGTGTGTTGGCTCATGCATGCAAGCCCAGCTACCTGGAGGTAGAGATGGGGAGAATTGCTGTTTGAGGACAGCCCATGCAAAAAGTTAGGAGATACTCATTTCAATAAAAAAGGCTGGGGATGGTGGTGTATGCCTTGTCATCTTAGGTATGCAGGAAGATGGCAGTCAAGGCTGGTCTGGGAAAAAGCATGAGAACCTAACTGAAAAGTAACTAAAGCAAAAAGACCTGGCTCAAATAGTAGAGCATCTGCCTACGAAATGCAAAGCCCTGAGTTCAAAAAAACCCAGTTCCACCAAAAAAAAAAAGGAAGAAAGAAATTTAAACTGAATCTCTTATAGAAATCTACCTAGCAAATAATGCAGATTTGTGCAAATTCTGGTCATGAGGGCCAGTTATTTCCTATAGCTATCCCTTCAAATAGCACTGGATAATTATAAGAAAGCAAATGTCTATACATTAATCTACTAAGTATGTGTATCTTCATCTCTGGACTCATGAAAACTGGAAATATACAGTTTTAAACTCTGGAAGAGTTTTTTTTTTTTTTAACCAAAGTTTTGGGTTTTTGGTCTCTTAAGTTTCTACTTCAAATTTTAAAATCCAAACTATAGTATGTATATCATGCAAAGTGAGTAATCTAAATAGACATTTAGAAGTATAATGTCCATGAAGTGATTCTCTTACGTAGCCTAAACAGCTAACATTTATGAAAGAAAAGATGATTCTCTTATATAGCAAGAGCCAACCAATCACCATACCTGCCTAATAAATGGCAGTTGGTGTGCTCATTCTCATTTTCAATGAGACACCATCAAGTTCTTCTTTTTTATAATATAATATTTTTTCTTTTTGCCATAGAATTCTGTGCCCTTCTTTCATCTCCATTTTCCCTTCTTCAAATGAAAACTAAGTTGCAATATCACACTTAGCAAATACACTGACAGATTTAGAATTTAGGATATGGGTTTTTGCATTATATTAAACCTGCTATTTTCTCAAGTTTTTACATTCATTCTGCTTTGGGAAGCGAGGATGCAATAGTGGAAACACACACACACACACACACACACACACACGAAACTGTACCTGAGGACAAGAGGCAGGAACATTTTGGTGTATTAAGATCTGTGCTTTTGGCACTTGGTGAAAACAGCTGGGCTGACACATAGCCAGTATAAATGATTTCTTATGGGACTGCCAGGGGTAAGAAGGTGTGGTCAGGTCAACCTACTTTTGAGGGCCTTCCATACCAGGAAGGTGGTAACAAGGCCATTTGTTGGTGAAGTTTGGGTAGGGAACTGAAAAGAGCAGGTTCTCATGACATTCAGGAAGTTAATAGACACTGAGGAAACTGTTCCAGAGACTTTTAGGGAATGTGCTGTGTTTATCACAATGTCTGAGACAAGTGGCTTAAAGTGTAATGATTAGACAGTATGAAAGATGGCCACACAAGTGGTAAGGAATAGGCTAATGGGGCAGGGAGGAGATTATGAGAGAGAAGACAAGAGCTGCAACCATTATCAAGTTGGCTAGAGGGAGACATGACATGAAGGAGGAACCATAACTCTGGGACCAGAGAGCTGATAAGACTCAATAAAAGAGGGGCTGGGATATAACTCGAGGTAGAGTGCTTGCCTAACATGTGCAAGGTCCTGGGTTTGAGCCTTAGTATACACACAAACACACATAATAAATAAAAATGAGTACGACTTTTTTTTTTTGGTAATACCAGGGCCTGAACTCAGGGCTTCATGCTTGCTAGATAGGCACATCTCCAGCCCAAGTCTTACTTTTAATAAAGCAGCAGCATCCACAGTAAGAATACTCACAGGAATCAGCATTATTATGGTTTGGGTATTAAATGTTCCCCCCAAACTCATGTGTTGAAGGCTTGCAAATGTTCAGAGGTGGGGCTTTAGGAAGTGAGTGGATCATGAGAGCTCTGACCTAATGGAACCATGAGCTGATGGTATTATTGGGAGGTTCTGGAAAGAGACTAGGAAGTGAAGCTTAGTTTGAGGAAGCAGGTCACTGAGGGCATGCCCTTGAATGGTATATCTTGTCCTAAGTCATGTACTCCCCCACTTTCCCTCACCCCTCCATGTTTTCTAGCCATGAGGCTATGAGGTAAGCAACTGAGCTCCTTCATGCCTGTCTGCTATAATACACAGCAGACCCTTGGCATCCACAGGTATATATGATCGAGGAAATACCATGAATACTTAGGATATATAGAGCTCAGTATTGTACAGCAGATGATTAATTTTTTCCCATGATGCCTACCAACTTCTGCTAAAGACATGCCATCTTTCAATAAATCTAAAAATTTTACTTTATGCCTAGTGCTGGTGGCTCATGCCTGTAATCCTAGCTACTTGGGAGGCAGAGATTAGGAGGATCTCGATTTGAAGCCAGCCTGGGCAAACAGTTCTCATGACCCTATCTCGCAGAAAATGTGGTATTTACATACAATGGAATTTTATTTAGTCATAAAGAAGAATGAAATTTTGTTGTTTGTAGGTAAATGCATGGAAATGGAGAACAACACCTTAAGTTAGCCAGGTCCAGAAAGCCAAACGCTGCATGTTTTTCTGTCATACGTGGAATATAGGCCCAATACAAATACAAGCAATATAATGAAGAACAGGTCATGCTAAGGGGAGATCACTAACAGGACAGGGAGAGTAAAAGAAGGAAGTTAAGAAGATGAACATGGTTGATGTACTTTTTATGTAAGAATGAATACAGAATTTTTAAACCTGTTGAAATCACCATAAGAAGGGGACTAAGGCAGAAAGGAGAAAAATAAAGGGAATAAACTAGTTTGGATTATAACACATACATACATGGAAATGTCACAATGAAACTCTCTATATAGCTATCTTATACAAACAAAAAATGCCTTTTTTTAAAAAAACTGAACAGGAAGGTAAAACAGGTCCTGTCTGGGGGCTGGCACCAGTGGGAGAGGGATGTGGGGAAAGGGTGTAGGAGGGTGAATATGGTGGAAATAGTATGTACCCATATTTGAAAATGGAAAAATGAGACCTGCTGAAACTGTTCCAGGAATGGTGAAGGAGATAAAGAATGATGGAAAGGGTGAATTCAACTATGATATATTGTAAACACTTTTATAAATGTTACAATGTAATCCCAGTATAGCAATATAATAAAAAAAATTAAAAAGAAGAAGAAAATACCCAACTCAAGAAAGGGTTGGGGGAATGGTTTAAGAAGTAGAGCACCTGCCTAGCAAGTGGAAGGCCCCGAGCTCAAAACCCCAGTAGCACATACACACACAAAAAAAATACAATTTTCACTTTATCACTGAAGCACATTCACTTTTACCTTGCTTTGGGAGCACAATTTGATTCCTTGGGAGGCAGATTTTCATAAAATTAAGGGCAGGAAAACAGCAGATCATACAATGACTTAAAAAAAACTGATGACAATGCAGGACTGACCGACAGCTTCTCTGCATCCACTGAGCTGAAGAATGTGCATGGGAATTTAAAATTTTGTTTTTGAAATTTCTTTTATTATTTTTGACTGTGTTTTGTCAAAACCATGTGTGTAATGAATCTGCAAATAAGGAGGACTTACTTGTACTGCCTCACCACACCCCGGGAAACAATGGAACTATCAGCACACATACTAGAACTTCTGAAACTGTGAGCCAAAATAAACCTTCCCTCCTTTAAATTGTTTTTCTCAGGTGTTTGTCATAGCAACAAAAAGTCTAACACAAGTATGTTCTGCAGATGCTGTTCTAGAACCTTATATTCTAGCTACTGTTCTCCTGCTCCATGTTCCTTGAACATGTGATATACTTTCTTCATGGCTCCATCCATTTCTAAGTCTTTAGCTTTTTAATGCTTCCATAATTTTCTCGTTTGTTGCCTATTTATCAGTTTAGATTGAAAGCAGTAAATACATCTTAATGATTTAGAAAGCATGGCTTCTTTATTTTTTGAGTGTGATGAAGTTTATTAAAAGTTAGGAAGGGGAATTACAAAAGGGGACACAGTGGGACTAGGTCAAAGCTGGAAGGAGACAGAGGAAGGGAGGGAGACAGGGACAGAGAGAGTAAGAGGGGGAGAGAGAAAGACAGAGAATGTTGTTTTGAACTCTACAGAGAATTTAACAGATGTCGTCTCTTTTTGGGTGAGTGAATAAACTCTCTGTGGTCTATCTCTTTTACCAGTAAATTTAGGATACTACAAGGATCTATTTAATTTACATAAACCTAAAGGTTAGAATACTGCTTGGTACAAAATAAATTCTCAATGAAATGTAATAAAATCTAGCTTTAATTCTATGCCTCTGTGTGAAATCTTTCCTGAATATTCTCTTCCCTTAGGTGTACTTACTGGATAAGCATCCCTCTTTCTAACAAGACTTGTAAAATTGAACCTGTATTAGAGGATATACCACAATTTATCATTTTTATTACTCCTATTAGATCCTCTCTGTTGAAGCTCAGTAGTGACCTATTCCTAGAATATGCAGAGGACCTAAAGAAGTCCATCCAAATGCTCTGCAAATACTCAGGAAAATGAGGCTCTTTAGGGTCAGACATTTGAACCTTAAATGCCAAGTTAGAACTTTATTCTAGGGAGATATTTTGAAACAAAATTCTATGATCCCGGGTGCTTTTCAGTCAGTTAAATGGTGTGAGTGTGATACTGTAAGAGAAATAAGGGAACTGAATTAGAAGTTATTCCAAAGGCCAGTTATTGGTTAAACTAAGAAAGTGACAGCTAGTGAGAGCATGACTCAAAACAACATTAAGTATTAAAATGTTTTAATATATACAATCTTTTAAAAAGATTTCTTTTTAAAATTTTTGGTGCTGTGGATTGAACCCAAGGTCTCACACATTCTATACTTCTGTCCCACCAATAAGCTGGGACACATGTCCCTAATCCTGATTTTTTTTAAATTTAAATTTTGCAAATGGAGAAACTATAGCTAGAAGAGGTCAATAAATCTGCCCAATCATATAAATTTATTAAATGGGGAAGTGTTCAGATGTCATGTCCAGTGTTCTGGCTTCTAGCTGGACTGAGAGGACAGTCTGGTGACATTAATTAAGACAAAAAGAGAAGAATGGAGAAAGCCTGACAGGCACTGGTGGGAGAGGTGTTGAAACAATGAGTTTGTTTTAAGATGTGCTAAGTTCCTAGATATCCATCCTTGAATGTCTAGAAAGTAGGTCTAGAGATAGAGATTTGGGAATAAATGTTCATGTGATAGTTGAATGACAGCATTGAATTAGTAGTTATGGTCTGAATTGTAGTCTTAGTTTTCAGTACTTGTGTGACCTTATGTGGAAAGAGTCTTTGTAGATGATAAAGTTGAGTTCACTAAGCCCTAATCCAACATGATTGCTGTCCTTATAAAATAAATTTGGACACACAGACAGGCATACTTAGAGGAAGACAATGTGAAAGAATTGGAAGAAGAGCATTTACTGTCCAAGGCACAGCTAAGACATCCAGAGGCTAGGAGAGAGGTATGGAACAGGTTTCTCACAGTCCTCATTTCTATCCTATTCGGTGCACAGGATTTAAAAATTCACTTACTGTTTAGCACAACTCTGTGCAAAGTTTAAAAACAACATGTAGATATAAGATGTCCAACATTTTTAAAGATAGAAACTTTTTAGGACCAAGTGTGTTCTGAGATTGTCACCGAAAAAGACTTCAAAATACAAGGTACAATGATCGCTAGGTCAAAATGAATGCAATCTTTTCACTACGGTCCTCTTGCTAAGACATAACCTTCCTTTCATAACTTTGCGATCCTCAAGATGTCTGACGCCTGCTCAGTGCTGCTTCTAAAGATGGATGGCAATGATCCATCATCTAAGTCTCATTGGGCTCAATGTAAGTAAGAACAGTGTTCAACAAACCCACTGCGAATCTCTGACTATAAGGATATTTCCATAATAGGACAATGCAGACTGCTCACTGCCATTAGGGAGGTCAATAATTGGCAAACAAAGAGTAATGGGGTGAAAAACACCTAAATTTAAAACTAATTTTTTTTAGGTGGGACTGGGATTTGAACTCAGGGCTCTGCACTTACAAAACAGGTGCTCTACTGCTTGAGCCACACCTCCAGTCCATTTTGCTCTGGTTATTTTGGAGATGGAGGTCTCACAAACTGTTTGCCTGGGCTAGCCTTAAACCATGATCCCCTCAATCTCAGGTTCCCAAGTAGTGAGCCCCAGGGTCTCACTATGTAGCACAGGCTGGTCTCCAACTTGAAATCTTCCTGTCTCAGCCTCCTGAGTGCTGAGATTATAGGCATGCCCCGTTACAGCTAATTTTTTTTTTTTTTGTGATCCTGGGAATTGAACCCAGGGCTTCACACATGCCGAGCATATGCTACAACTGAGCTACATTTCCAGTCTCCCAAATCTTTGCATAATTAGAATAATATACTGTTTCTCAAGAATAATTTTTGTGTGTATGTCTACGTGTGTGCACACATGTACACACATATTGAAGACTGAACCCAGTATCTTGCATATCATAAGCATGTGCACTATCACTAAGCTCTAGTATAAAATATTTTTAAACTATTATTTTTATATGTATTTCATACTCATATTTTTAAGTCCTAACTTCCTGGGTTGACTCATCAGAGGTGTTAGAGCAATATTTATAAAATCTATCCCGCTAAACAACTAATAAACACTGATTTCAAAAGTCACATAGCGGCTGGCAGAATGGTTCAAGTGGTGTAGTGCCTGCCTAGCAAGCTATATATTAATATATAGCTTATATTAATCTTTCTTAAGATCAGTAAAATATTTTAACTTGTGTTCACTGTTACATCACTAGCCCTTCACCAACATTTGACAGTGTAGCACAAACAGCACCTACATGAGGCTTTAATGCATTTTACATTTCTTATGCTGACTTCAGAGGTTTGCTGGTCTCACTTACTGACTGATCAAAGGCCACTGCAGATAGCTGGGACTCCAGTCTCCAACTAAACCACCCAACATTTGTGCAGCCATGAAAGCTGCTGGTGTTGCCTAACAGCAGCTCATTCTAACAGCTGGACATTCTCACATGCTTCATTTGGAGTACACATTGAATGCTTCTACCTCCCTGCCTTAACTGAGCTTGGCTTTCCAACCTTTCACTCTTCATAGGATAACTTTTTTGGGGTGGGTCTTATTACACAGCCCCAGGCTGGTCTCAAACTCATGGTTTTCCTTCCTACCCTCCTAAGTACTGGGATTACAGGTATACTTGGCTCTGTTTTTTCAACTTTTTTTTTTTTTTTTTTGTGGAACTGGGGTTTGAACTCAGGGCCTCATACCTACTAGGAAGGCACTCTACCACTTGAGCCACTCCTCCAGCCCGGCTCTGTTTTTTTTAATTAGGGTAAAACCACTTCTTGGCCTTAGGGCTAAGATCAAGTGCAATTAGGATAAGCCTTGATCACAGACTGATGGCTATATTTTCTGTTAAGAAATAGTTCAGGGCATATGTCAATGCATTTTTACTTTATTTACAGAAAAAGGGGAAGAAGAGATGATACTAGAGAATATTTTAAACTTAATCTAAATCTTTATAGTTATAGTCTAGGACATCAGAACCTTGAAATTGCTGTTTAGAGGAGCTCCCAGCAATGTAGCATCAAACTCTTATTCTTAGCTGTCTAATGAAACACATTTAAAAAGTAGGCTTCTGGCCAGGCATCAGTGGCTCACACCTGTAATCCTAGCTATTAAGGAGGCAGAGATCAGGAAGATCACAGTTTGAATCCAGCCTGGGGCAAATAGTTTGAGAGATCCTATCTTGAGAAACCCCACCACAAAAATGGGTTGGTAGAGTGGCTCAAGGTGTAGGCCCTGAGTTCAAACACCAGTACCGCAAGAAAATAAAAAAAATAAAAATAAAAAGTAGGCATCCAATACTATATACCACATGTAGGATAGCACTGCCCTGTATGGGTAGTGAGGTAAAAGGAACTGGGATGAATAGAAGAGTGTTTTAGTCATCTTTGCGAGGCTTTTATTTTTAAAATGGTGGATGGATTATGAATTTTAAAAAATTTTACTCTTTTCTGGTATTTCTGAATGTTTGAAATAATTGCAATTTTTAGAAAGGTTTCTAAGTAGCTGATTTTGTTTTGTTTTGGTGGTACTGGGAGGCAGGCAGCCTACCATTTAAGCCACATGCTCAGCACCCTAAGTGGCTGATTTCAATCTAAAACATTTTCTTCCTTTCTTTTTTCTTTTGATAGATGGTCTCACTATATAACCCAGGCTGGCCCTGAATTCTTGCTCCTCCTAGCTTGACCACCTGGGATTACAGGCATGTTCCACAGGCTGGAGATGTAATTCAGTGGTAGAGTGCTTGCCTAGCATACACAAGGCTCTGGGTTTGATCCTTAGCACCAGGAGGGGGAAAATATCAACTCAGGTGTACACAACCATACCAGCTCAAAACATTTTATTTCTATTAGCTTTCTACTGTTACTTCCACTTTTGTAAAGCACATGGTTATTTTACACAAAGAAAAGCAAGCTCTGGGTTGTGATGTGGCTCGGTAGAAGAGCACTTGTCTAGGATGTCCAAGGCCCTGAGTCTGATCCCCAGCATTGTCCAACAACGAAAAAAAAAAGCAAGCTCCTTGTTGTGAAAAAGTATGTAGTATGCAGCATCTTAAGTTTAAGGAACCCTACATGATTTTTATTAGCAGAAGAACCATGACACTTCTAACATGCAGTGCCGTCTGTAAATCTGATAGATGGTCTCACTATATAACCCAGGCTGGCCCTGAATTCTGACTCCCAAGCTGATGTGGCGGCCTGTGTCTGCAGTCCCAGTTACTTGTGAAGCTGAGGCATGAGCATCACTTGGCCCCAGGAGTTTGAGGCCAGCCTGGGCACCGTAGTGAGACACCATCTCAAAAGAAAGAAAAAGAACTTGACTCCTGAAGAGTTTTGAAGCACAAATACATTTTTTTCTGAAAGATTACTAATGATGGTCACAAAAATTTTATGTAAGACAAAAATTAGTATATATCATACTCCTAACTGGAGAGAATGAGGTGTACTTGTATGGTCCTTCACAGTTCATTGGAGGGAAGTCTTCACATTCCTTGATCAACATGACTGCCTTGACAGAGCTAACATTATTTTCTGTCTTGAAAATGAGGAGGCAGAAGATTGGAAAGGCTCAATAACTTTTCCCAGACTCACACACCTAATACGTCATACTGCTCCTTCTGTCTTATCTCATTACTGGCAAGATGGTTAAACTTTATATTGGGACAGAAAAGAGAGACAAAACCATCCAGAACTGATTCTACTCATGGTCTGATGCTACCAGTTCTACAGAAACAATCTACTTCAGGCCAATGCCCTCTCACCTGGCGATTCTACAAGGTGTTCTTGTTTCTCTTCTCTGTCTTGAAATTGAATTAAATGTGACCACAAAGCCGACTTCCCCTGAAAGTACAAGGCACATAAAACATTTCACTTTAAGGAAATAATTATCAAAAATAATTTCTCATCATGATCATACATATTAAATTGGCCACTGAGAATTCTGGTCATCTACTCATCTATTCCAAGCTGTGTGACTTTTTATTTTTGGTAGTGCTGGGAACTGAACCCAGCAAGCATTATACTACTGAGCAAGCTTTATACTACTGAGCTACACCCGAGCTCCGTGTGACATTCTGAGCATCTCATTCTGTGTGTTGTAAGGGTTATCCTTTGCCTTGCTGAGAAGCCTGGCAAGAGCTGGACAAAGGGAAGGGAAGCAGCTAAGCAGAAGGCAAGAAGGACTGGCGTGGGGATTTCTGAGGTCAGCTCAGCTGTTACTCAGTTGTATATAATTAGGCCACATTAGTAAGCATGGAATTAAAAAGCTCTAGCAGCTTTTTATACACAGAATGGATTTGTGTATATCTATGTGTAAAATTTTTGGATATATGGAGTGGCAATGAAGGAGAAAACTGCAATGAGAGGAGAAAGAGAAAGGGAGACTAGAGAAAAGAGCAAAGAGACTATTTGAATTTTTCTATCTTGAATTACTAGATAACTTAAAATGGCTAATTTTTCTCCTGTACAAAAGTAGACACTGAGGGTTGGCAGAGTGGTTCAAGTGGTAGAGCACCTGCTTAGCAAGCATGAAGCCCTGAGTTCAAATCCCAGTACTGCCCAAAAGAAAAAACTGTAGAAGTTGAATGAAGCAACAGAGCATATAATTTCTGCAATGAATTCGTCATTTTATCCTTTCCTGTTTGTCAGGAAAAAGCCCCAAGTTGCCTCCTAGCCATGGGTTATGTTTTCTTTCTCTGTAATTAAAATGTCTGTGGCACATTTCTAATCATCTTGTCACAAAGGAACATATTCTTTTTAATGACATCTTTTACACTTTTCAACATGGCTCCTAAAGGGCCATGTCTTGAAACTGTTACCTGTTTAACCTGCAAGCCATGGCTCCATATCCTTTCCAGCAGGTCACAGAGGCTGGCAATCAAGGTGTTCTCTTCTAAGCCTGTGATGTTTGCTTCTCCATGGCCCAGTTCCACTGCTTCATGTCCCATCTTTTCTACCAACATCCGTTTTGTCTGAAAACATCACATGTGGTCATAAATCACCACAGTCATGAAACTAAAACCAAAACCTAAGCCAGGCTTAGGATACATGGATTCCCTTCATCATAATTCTAACTGCAGATTTTTAATCACCTTGAAGAGAATGTCTTAATTTCTGTGGTCAACTTACTGCAGTAATACCATCTGTATTTTGTTATTATGTCAGAGAAATGGAGGTTCACTACGGATATAATATTTGTACAACATCCCCATGTAGAAAAAAAATGCTTATATAAAACAAAATTTCAAATTATAAACTTCTGTGACATTGAGGAATTAATTACTACAGACCTAGAAACTGGAACTCAGCCCTGCCACCACAACTTGCCCTCCATTGCTCCCAGTATTTTGGTATACTAAAGGTATCTGCACTTAGTTTGGCTGCACTCAGGCTGAAACCACAACAGAAATGGGCAGCTCTACATGTTTTGAGAAATTCCTAGTTTGTGAGTGAACCAGGACTTTTTCTCTTTCTTCTTCTTCTTCTTTTTCCTTCTTGTTCTCAAGTGTACACCAGAAAATGAAAATGAAATGGAAATCAGTTTTAGATATGTTAATTTGCATCACTTTTAGCTACTCTTATAGAAAATGAGAATCTAGCTTCTCTAGGCAGGGACCTTATCTATCTGATTCACCTCTATATGCTGATGCTGAAAATAATGCATTTATTGAGTATGAAGAGAAGTTACTCAGACATGACTGTCAAATAAGTAAAAGAAATTATTGTCTGAAATGATAATCTGAGTTTTGTCTATTTATATTGCTACTTCATATACACACAGGTGTCTGAGACAGACTAGTGTACAACACAGCTAAGATCTTTTTCCTTAAGCATATACACATGCATGCATGGGCACAGACAAGACTGTACAAACATAAATACACAGACACAAAAAGTGTGTTGCCTTTCACATAGGATGACAACATCACTGACATAACTTATGAGTGGCTTAACATTAATTCATGTTGGGATGGAGGACAGTGACAGATGAAAAGACAAGAAAAGACGAGCAATGGTGGCCCACGCCTGTAATCTTACCTACTTGGGAAGTTGAGATTGGGAGATTCATGGTTCGAGGCCAGTTCAGGCAAATAGTTCAAGAGACCTCATCTCAAAAATAATCAGAGGAAAATGGACTGGAGGTGTGGCTCAAGTGGTAGAGTGTCTGCTTTGCAAGTGCAAAGCCCTGAGTTCAAAACCCAGTTCCACCACAAAAAAAAAAAAAAAAAAAAGCTGAGAAAATATATAAGTAGCGCTCCCATGTCATTGATGCTGCGGGGCATGAATCCATGGAAGGTCATGACCTCAATGAAGAGCACATGAGGTCCACGTCACTGTAAAAGTCTTCTTTCAGGGAAGCTATAGGCATGAATGGGGGTTGACTCATCTCATCTTACCCCACACATGGTATAAACATGAATGCACACTATCTAATATCAGTAATACATACCTTCATTCTGCATTCTTTCAATAAGCCTTCTACAAATTTGCAATTGGTCTGTGCAATCACTGCAGGAGAGAGGTCTGACAGTTTGGGTTGCCTCAGGTTTTTTCCTAAGCTTCGTGCCTCTTGCATATATTTCTAAAAATTAAGAGTATTTTTAATGCATAAACATCACATTTTCTTCTGTTCTACTTAGCCTTACACAAACAAATGCAGGAACAAGCAAGATGTAAAAAGACTGTAAGTATGTGTGCAACACGATTAAAGTTTTAGTGCATTCTGTAGCAAGCAGAGGACATTTGTACTCTCCTCTAAAACCTGTTAACTACTGTGAAAAGGAGGGTGACAGAAATCTCATTAAGTTAAAATTCACTCAAAGTGAGGTGCATTTTCATTTAGTTTAATCTGCTTATTAGGACTACCCAAAGCTGTATTAGTCAGGATCCTGGTTAGTACAAACAACTAGGAGTTTGGACTGCTAAGTTCAAGGTTCTGCAGAAACCCAGTGGTTCTCAGATCACTGGTTTCCTCCACTCCTCTCCCAACAAGAGAGACTTCACATCCCTCTAATATCATGGAACTGCTCTCCAGCTTAGCCCTGTGCTCTATTTAAGTCAGAACAGTAAAATTAGGAGCTCTAGAATCATGTTGCAACCAGTTTTGTGACTTGAGACATCTTAACTAATGTTTTTGCATCTCAGTTTAATGTTAATTGGGCATAAAATATGTCCATGTAGCTCACAAAAAAATAAGACTGTAGGATCATTCTGAAAAGCATGATGCAGTGGGCCTGCTGACTCAGATCTGTAATCCTACCAAACTGGTAGGCTAAGATTGGAAAATTGAGGTTCCAGGACAACCCATGCAAAAAACTTCATGACATCCCATCTCAAAGGAAAAAGCTGGGCTTGATGGCATGCAGCTGTCATCCTAGTTACCATGGGAAGTGTAAAACAGGAGGATTAAGGTTCAGGCTGGTCTGGGCTATGGGCCAAAAGTGAGACCATACCTAAAAAATATCCATAACAAAAAAGGGCTGGAGGTGTGACTTGGGTGGTAGAGCACATGCTTAGCAAGCTTGAAACTCTGAGTTCAAAGTCCAGTACTGAGGGGGAGGGTAGCATAGGTGCTCCAAATGCAAGTGGCCTCTTGTTTCTGTGACGTTTGATTAAGCCCCTCTCATGCCTTGTTCTAACATCAGGAGAAAGCGGAGTTTGTGGGGATTCTAAGGCACCACAGAATTTGGTTGGTGAATCCCCATTAAAAACAATCACTAACCCTGGCCAGTGCACAGCATGTGAGCATGTATGCTCATGCTCACTCATTTTCTCTCTGTCTCACCTACCTGAAAAACTTCACCTTGATACCTTATGTTTACATCAGGATCACGGGGCAGAATCTCTAGAAGATCCAAGTGTTTTAGGGCTACACTGCTTTAAATTATATAGTAAAACTCATTTTTTTTTTGGATGTGGAGAGACAGATATCACAAACCAGCATGTTTGTACATCTTCCCACAGCACATATGTGAAATCTCTCCTATTTCAGGGAGAGAATTTGATATTACAAGAGAAGATGTGTAAAATCCTCTGCATTCTTGAAATACAAGAGAATTTGCAGTTTAATGTATTTTCCCTCAGGAAGAAAACTAATCTGCTAAATCTGATTTAAAAAAATGAAAGAAATCCCACTGATTAGGGATTACTTGACTAGTTTATGCTACTTCTCAACTTTCATGACACAACACTAATGACACTGCAACATTAACAAAATCATGTTTATTTTCTAGTCTAATCATTTTAAGGAAGGAGTCAAAATCAAATGAATTCTGCAAGCATCAATTTCCATAGCACTTATACTTTTCTTCTTCAAATATTTTTTCAGAGAACTAAAGAAACTGGGAAAATTGGAATGAGAACCATTATCAGTGGGTAAGGAACAACTCACAGGAAGTGGCATAAGGGCTCTCCTTACAGCAAGAAGTGAGGTTGCATTCTTGAAAGATAAGAGAATTTGTAGTTTAGTATGTTTCTGCATAAGCAAAAATGGCAATGTCTTTACAGTGAACCTGGGATGATAAAAATGGCAGATGAAGCTGAGCAGGCAGTGCACAAGTCCTGGGGTAGAAGGTGAAGGAAGGAGGATTGTGAATTTGAAATAAGCCTGTGTTAGTAAGACCAGCCTGAGCTACATACATAGCAAGACCCTGTCTCAAAAAAAAAAACCCCAAGGCTGAGGATATAACTCACTGGTAAAGCACTTTGCCCAGCCTGTGAAAGGTCTTACATTTGAGCCTCACCACCAAGAAAGGAAAAAAAAAAAAAAAGGCAGCAAGAGAAAGAAATATTTTGAGATGAAAAATGGAAACAAGAAACCTTTCTCAAGAAGTTTTTTTTTTTAATTACATAGTCCATTTCTCTACAGAGAGAAGTAACCTTAGATTTCTATGCTCTTCTGTGTTTCTGTCAAAGACAAAAGCATTAAGCTGCCAGGAAATACAAGAAAATATCCCTCTCCCCTTTTTTTTTTTGGTGGCACTGGGTTTGAACTCAGGGACTCACAATTGTTAGGCAGGTGCTCCTACCACTTGAGCCACTTTGCCAGCCCTCTCCCTCTGTTTTTGAGACAGGTCTTCCTGCATAGCCCAAGACTGGCTTAGAACTGGGTATGTAGATCAACCTGGCCTCAAACTCACAATCCTCCTGCCTCCACCTCCCAAGTGCTGGGATTTTAAGTTTGTACTACCATGCCCAGATAGTATATCTTATTATTCAATAAACATTGGGCTAAGTGGTTATTAATACAGGTTTCTCCTAGCTTTCTAATAAATATCCTATCCCTTTAACTGGTGCTGAATTTGTGAAGAAAAGACCATTGTAAAATCAGCTAAATTTAAGCTAATGTCATAATGAGGGAAAAATACAAGCAAGAGTCCTAAGTTACTTGTGCCCTGAGGTGGACCATGGTTAGTGCATGATGATGTGCAGGGTTAGCAGGAAGAGACTCAGGCCTGGACACCATGAGTCCTAGGCTAGAAGCTCAGCTCTGCCTTTTTATGTCCATTTAACTTCTGGCAAGTCTCTCAAGAGTTCAGCTAAATTATGTCAAGTTGGATAAAATGACCTCAAAGGTTCCACTTAGCACTAACATTCTATGTTGATGACTGTACTTGCTGAAACAAAATGTAGTCCAGGAAAGTAAATTAAAATGCAGTAGAGACAAAATCTAGCAAGAGAAAGTTAAAATTCAAGTGCTTTTTACTTTTGAAAAAAATGTTTAAATAAGAGGAATTTGATATTCAACACATTTTTTCCCTTTTGTAAAAAAAGCAATTTGTGATTTGGTATAAAAAAAAAATTCCCATTGACTAGGGATTTGAATGTTAGTTTTACTGTCAACAGCATAGAATTGCTTGTGTTGCCACACACCAGAACAAAAAAGCATCAAACACAGAGAAAACAGAGAAGTAGAGAGTCTAAGTCACAGGTGATGAGAAGCACTCTGCACTGTCTGCACTCACACATGTGTATCATTCAAACCACACCAAAGATGAGACTGGGGAACATCTGGTGACACGCTCTCAAGGCAAAGGACATACCAGGCAGCACTCAGAGAAGGACTTTTTAGGAAGCCGTGCAGGAGGAGGTGGCCCCTGATCCCACTCCCAGAATGCCATGGAGTTCTGACAGACCAGAAGTTCCCCGGAAGGCTAAGAGGATGGAGAAGTGCCAAAGACAGAAAAGCAAAAAAGAAAAGGGGAGAGAGGGGGAGAGAGGGAGAGATGGAGAGAAGGAGAGAGGGAGAGAGGGAGGGAGGGAGGGGGAAGAGAGAGAGAAAGAGCGAGAGAAGCAATACAAGCATGCATATGATAAAATCATGGCAGAAGGGAGGGAGAAGAAAATAGTGGCAAAAGAAATGCACTGCAAGGGATGCAGTTCTGAACAGTGTTTAAAGTCATATAGGTATGAACACACTAACGAAAGTGACAGATGTTTAGAATGATGTTTTCTGTTTTATTTCTACACATTTCAGGTTAGAAAATAGTGAACAGTGTTTCTTATTGCATTTTTTTTATCACAAAATAACCAAAACTTACTTATAACTATTCAAATGTATAATTATGGGTTTATTTTTAAAGCATACAAATGAAGCACATTGATCTTTAAAAAAAAAATAGCTCATAAACTTCCTGAAAATGGTGTCAACCAGCCCAGGGCAAAGCATAGTAAGTAGCTCATTATTTACTAAGTTTAAATTATACTTGTAACTTAGACCCCTCTATGTTTCTTGGAAAGGTTTCTCCCAATAGGAGATCTACTGGTCCCAAATTTACCCTTACTTGATGTAGTACACAGAAAGACTTGTTTTAGAGCCCTAATTGGGATGTATTGAACTTACAAAAATGGAAAAAAAGTTGTTTTCTGCCACAAGTCCGTACAAAAGTCTTAATGTTTAAAAATATAACTGAACCATTTTTTAAAAGAATATGAGAGGACCTGCACAATGACACCTGCTGGCTGAGTAGGCCTAGCTCCTGGCTGTTGCAACATGGTATCTCAGGCAGGCACCCACATACCTCCCTCAAGTCGTTGTCCAGGCCAATGTGCTCAGAATGCTGGCGAAGGCGTTCTTTCCTGCGCTGTGTGGTGGCACTCCGACTCACCCAGCGACTGCAAAAATAACCACACCCAAGAGGGTGTAGATTAAGACAACCAACCAAATAAAAACAGGTGGTGTTCATTTTTAAAATAGAAGGAATAAGCTGTTCAACACTCAGTTCTTCTAAAAAGAAATAATGGCTTTATTAAAATATAATGAAAATACCATATAATTCACCAAAGTACATAACCCAATATATTTCATTATATTCACAGATAATGTGCAACCATCACCACGATCAGTATTTTTTTTAAAACTGTGGTTAGAGTAGAAAAAGTTAGATATATTTGTACATAATAACGAGTCAGACATTATTTGAGCTAGTCCCCCTCAGAGTCTATGGCCAACTTTTCATTTTACTCGCAGATACCATCACTCACCTGATGAGTGTAACACAAAACCTAACTCCTAAAACTTATTCTTGAACAACTAAACCACATAAATAGCTGATGAGCTTATACAATAAATACGGTGGATGTCTGTGACATGAAGGCCTGTGACAAAAAAGGTCAGTTAAGAGAATAAAATTTGTTCAGGGATTAAAGAAACTAGGGTTAATGGACAGGGTGGGCCAAATAAACAGAAAAATATGAAAAAGAATATAAACAGCAGCTAATGAATTTATAAGGAAACAAAATGTAAACAGCAGAACAACCCCCTTGGCAGGCAAAAGTAGAAAAACATTCTTTCCTGTATTAGAAGAGGTGTTAGGAAAAGAAAACGACAAAGATTAACTTATATAACTAGCTCTCACTATATGATTTGTGGGACAAAATACCCTATTTACATTTGTTTTCAAAACAGTGAAATGAGCACAGCTTAAGAAAATTACTATGGAGTCCATATCACTGGTCTTAAGTAATTAATTTATTCCTTGAATGACTGAACCTTGCTTACTGAGCATAATTTTACCAAAGATGATCATGTTGGCAGAAATATGAAAAGACTGCTTATTTGCTTCTTTCTTAGATACAGTATGTTAAATTCTCTCTAACAGTTGATCAACCATTTATAGTTACAAATCTCTCTACCCTGCAATTCATTCTGTCATCTTTTCTCTCCCAAACTGTAATTTACCTGAAAATGTAATGCTTAAGGCTAAGTGTAATTGGGAAACCTTGAAATTACACGTAAGGGTAAAAGCAAAAAAAATATGGCTATAAGATTTTGAAATTAAAATCCTCCCTTCTTAAGCACTCCCTACCTTCCTTTCCTGCTTTATTTGGTTTTTTTTAAGAGACAAGGTCTTGCTGTGTAGTACAGGCTGGCCTCAAGCTTATAATCCTCCCCTCAGCCTCCTGAGTGCTAGAATTACAGGCATGTACCCCTAAATTTCATGTTTATTTAAGAAGGGACAGCTAGCCACTAACAGGGGAAACAATGCAAAACAAAGTAAGCAATGTGAAATGTTCAGATCTCAAGTTACTTGCTTCTATCTTATAAGTACCACATTAAAGTACAACTTTGTAAACACTTGTATTAACTGTAGGATGGTTCTTTATTTTTTTAATTTTGCTGGGGATTGAACTCAGGGTCTCACCAATGCTAGGCAAGTACTCTACTACTAAGCTACATCTCTAGCTCCAAAAGGAGATTTCATTCCAAATACACAACTGTGTCACCTTTCTAATAAATCATCTTCTATGAGTATTCTCATTAAAATGGAGGAAGCCTATTCAAAGAGCTAAATCAGATATAGTTTCTTGCTAAAAATCCACAATTCTTTTTACTGGAAAGATTGTAAATAAAAAACAAAAGCAGCAATATATAACACTATAACTGCTTCCCTTAGTTCATATATACCTTTTCCCTATTAGAAATATCCTTAAGATATTGGGGTATCACGAGAGAGAGACACACTACTCAGAAGTCAACAGCCAAGGCAAAATTTACTTTTGCAGAAGTCCACTCAGGTTTTATCTCTAATGCAATGCTGTCTCCCCTGAATTGGGCAGGTTTTGGGTTCACAGTTTACATCATGGTTGGCTAAATGGAAAGAAGACATTGGAGGGAGCCTTAAAAACAAAGAAGTTTAAAAGTTCAAGGAAGCATAACTGTTTTAGATTTTCAGCTCCAGAACCAGGGCATCTAGTGGAATTTTGTCCAGCTGAGGATAACAACCCTTTGTTCTTAATAGAAACTTTTATCAGGTTAAGCAGAGTCCATGAAGCAAGCATATGGGAAGCAAGTTAGTGAGACTAACATTTTAACAGCGGTGGCTACTGATTAAATCCTTAAGACAGAAAAGACCCAACCTAAGCTGATTCTCACAGCCCTCCTTTGATGTGCCATCATGGTTACTTTCCCAGATATGGACCTAACTGAATTAATCATTCTGATTATTTCAGAAATAAATTTGAACAAACATCTTTAGTCAGCTAGGAAAATGTAAGGTTGTCATTTCTTTTAGGCTATTAAAAATAAGATATTAGCACTATGTACTTGAATACAAGGATACACACACACATGCACACACACACATATTCCCAGAAATACCTTACACCACACAATTTATTAAACCAACAGTTAACAACACATATTACAAAGATAATTTACTACGTTGTCCTTTTTATCCCAGTAAAGAGAACTATGGAAAGCATCTTGGGAAATAGACACCATACCGAGAATTCTACAATATAGCTTAACAGATTATCTAGGAAGGAACATCATACTTTCAAGCCATCTTTCAAGAGAGTCATATTTCTTAGGGCCATTTTGGTCAAGAGACAATTACACTTCTTTTTTATTCTCTCACTGATTCTCTACTTTCCTTCTGAAAATTCAGACGGCTCAGTGCAGTTCACTTAATTGTGGGTATTCAGTCTTACACTTCAGTCTTCTATTCCATTTTTTTGCCACTGCCTGGCTCCTTTACACTTTCCTTCTCTAAGCCTCTTTAATAAGGAGATTGCAGGTGCTGTAGGTTAGAGCGGTGCCCAAGGTTCCCAAGCTGGCTAGTGGTTAAGAGTAAAGTAAATTCTAGAATTGCTAATTTCCAATTGAAAGCTTGCTCTTTCCAACTTAGATCATATTCTCTATTAATACTTGCCTTTGCTTCCTTTCTCCTCCTAAACAACTTATTACTCACTTAACACTAGTAGTCACTTAAAAATCAAGATTTCCCTTCAAGTCAAACAGTATAATTGTTTTCCATTCTTTTTTTTGGGTGGTGCTGGGGATCAGGCCTTTGCAGATGTAATCAAATTAAGATGAGGTCATTAGGGTGGGCCCCAATCCAATATAACTATAGTGTTCTTATAAGAGAGGGGAAATGTGGACATAGACACAGAAAGAAGATGGTCATGAGAAAAGGGTACTGGAGACTGAACCCCGGGTCACACATGATAGAAAAGTGTGAATTATGCTATTATTATCAAGGAGCTACTAGGGTTACCAGAAGTTGGAAGAGAAAAGAAAAGATCATCCCCCAAAGACCTGGGGAAGAACAATGACCTTGCCGACACACCTTGATTTCAGATTCTTAGCTTCTAGATTCTGAGAGAATAATTTTTGTGTTTTAAAAGCTACCAAGTTTGTGGTACTTTGTTATGGCAGCCCCAGGAAAATAATACAGATGGTAAAAGTACAACTTTTTAAATTCCATTAGATTATTAGAAGAGTCATTTAAAACATGGCCATGGGTTTCATTCCCAGGACTGCAAGAAAATTAAAAAAAAAAAAAAACAGACTGGAGGTGTGGCTCAAGTGGAGGAATGCCTGCTTAGAAAGCACAAGGCCCTGAGTTCAATCCCCAGCATTGCAGAGAAAACAACAACAAACAACCACCAAAAATGTAGGTTTTTTTTTTTTTGCAGGGGGATGGAAATATAATGAAGGGAGTGAACTAGTTCAAAGTACACTGTATGCACGTATGGATTAATCACAATGAAACCCCTTTGTATTATAAAAGTATGCTAACTCAAAAATAAAATAAAAAGAAAAACAAATGTGAGTACTCCCAAGTGCAACTCTCCTTTGGAAAGAAAAACAAAACTCTAGTCTTTGAATTTTTTTACATGGCAGAATTAAAAGTTAAGTGCTCATATATAAAGTGTCAATCCATATTTCAAATAGATCAGTGTGGCTTTGAAAAAAGTAATCAGATAGCTAAGCTGTTTAATGGTTACAAATTGCCTGGCTAGAGCTGCAGACTATCCCATCCTTCATTCATGCCTTTAGCAACTTACTCAAGTGAAGTGAAGAATGTGCTTACTTGTTATTGGTTGGTCCTGATGCCAAGACATCGGATTGTAACTTTGGAAAGAACCCTTGCTCATATTTGCCTTGACCAATTTTCATATCAAGCAGATGTGGGTGGATTGCGGTGTGATCCATTTTCATCAGTCTTTGCTCAATTGATTGGGCTATAAATTAAATTTATAACACATTAGAGACATTCATTGCTAAGCCTTCAAAAATAATGCTTCTTCCACATATGCATGTACAAAAAACTCAATTATCCTTATACTCTGAAATAGTTTTACAAAGGCTCTCCAGAAATCAGTATAATGTAAGTAGAAGAAGCTTAATTTTAAGTAAATATTGAATGATTAATTTTCATATTTTCTGCAGGGCAGCAGGGTTGAAAAATCTATCAGTTAGTAGTGAAACAGTTTTCCTTAAGTGGAAAATTCTACAACCTTAACAAAAATATGGTTCTAAGTAGAACATTAAAGAAAATCATGGCAAATTTTCTGAGCTGAAAGATAACGTAAAGAGAAGCAAGAAACAAGTACAGTAGCCTAATTACTTTATTTCTTTGGACAAAGACCCATTAAATATTCCTGGTTCTCCATCTGTACAAACAAGGAACTGTGTGAAGTTTATACCACACTTCAGCAACAATTACATTCTCATTAGTAGCTGTCATTTAGGCGTGTTAATTAGAACAAGAGGGTAATGGAAAGAAATCAAATAAAAAAAATGTCCAGAGGATAAGAAACTGGCCTTTTGAAAAATAAAATAGATCTAAGTCAAAAGGTAAGAATTACTCAACATTTCTATTTTAAAACACCTTAAATTTGGGAGTGTTGGAGGTTGTCGTAAAGACCCAATAAAGTTATTTCTCTGGCAAAACAACCCTTAGTTTTAAGTAGCTTTACACACTGAATTTTCAAGAAAAAAATACGTATTTGAGAAGCACCACTAGGTCTTCAATCGTTTGCCTAGAGATTACTAAGAAGGGATAGTGAGCAGTAATTATAGAATACCTTGTGGAAACTGTGGAGATGTGTCTTACAAGAAGTAAGAAGGTAACTTTGCAGTTAATAGAATCCATTTATTTTGCTCCTTTTCATTGCCAGTAGACTGAGTCCTGCTAGTTAGTTCCCAGACATATTCTAAAGCTTTTGGGGGAGAAATGTGTCCATGACTACCTCCACTCTTATCAAAACATTACACTTAATGCCATTTGATATCCCATCATAGAATGGCCCCATACAAGCCAGCTGTTTGTGTTTGATGTGGAACTAAGGGAGGTTGTATGGAAGTTACTGCTGTTCTCCATGACTTAAACTTCAAAATGTTACAGATATGCTTTAAGTTCCCCTAATTTTAACTCATAACATATTAATTTATGCAAAATCTTGAATTTCACTATTTTATTTTACTTTTTTTTTTTTTTTTTTTGGATGAGACTGAGGTTTTAAATCAGGGCTTCATGCTTGTACTCTACCGCCAGAGCCACAACTCTAGTCTTATTTCAGGAACTACCTGCTGTGCTCTACCTAGAACCATAATCCTCCCAATCTCAGCCTCCAAGTAGCTAGGATTAGAGGTGTGAGCCACCAGCACCCAGAAAATTTCATTATATTTTCATGCATAATTTGTAACTTCTCTTGAAACATAGTCTATATGTTCTATGCTGGGCAAAAGGATCCCATGTTTTCATGTGAAATGACATTTAATTTTCAACAATGCCCCCTGATCCGCCATAATCCTATTTATACTCTCTATGCTTCCTAATATTTGTAAAACATAATTAATGGATAGTTTAAGACAACTTAACGCCTAGTTTCATAGTGTGAAATTCTCAGAAGTCCATCAATTTTATGTCTGTGAAGTACTACAAAATTGCATCTCTGCCAATGAGTGCTTCTGTTTACACAAAAGGAAAAGATGCTTCAGTTTTTCCATTTGATTTTAAATGACAAAGAAATCCACTGGCTACTGTTCTCTTTCACTTGGGAACTTTTTAAGAAACAAAAATCATGATTCATAATGAATTACTCTAGGGTTTATATTTAAAACTGCTACAGGGAGCATAAGCCAACGTTACTTTTTAGAGACTGTATCAACAGTGAATACTGAACATTCAGAAATGATCAAATGCCTGCTATAAGAGGTCAGAGTTCTTTTGTTAGACTTTCAAGAGTTTGTGACAATACTGATTTTTGGTCATGGATAAGGAAAAAGAAAACTGTATTACTATCCATTTCTTGTCTTTCTGAACAGGAATTATGAGGTCTGATGCCACAATACCAACAGCAAATAGCCTGTACCTAAGAAGTTCACCTGCAAAACAAAATTCTGTTTGGTTAGCGTGCGCGCGCACACACACACACACACACACACACACACACACACCATAGACAAAACCCAATACCCAATAAAAATCCCATGGGGGAAAGAAGGAAGGGGCTCAAAAAAATAGTATTGATGGTGTGAATTTGATCCAAGCACATTATATGCATGTTGTAAATATCACATTGAAACCCCTTTGTACAATTAATTTGTGCTAAGAAAAATTAGATAAAAAATCTAATGTCAACAGCACCCCAATCTCTGTTTTTTTGGGGGGCTTGGAAGAGGCTAACTTTACCTGATAAAAGAAATAACTGCATAATTTGTGAAGGGTAGTAGTCAGTCAGCTGTCTTTTTAATTAAAAAAAAAATCTTTGATAAATTCCCAGGAGGCTACTGTCTTAGTCTAATCTCATTTTCAATATATGTTAAATCTATAATGGTTTCAAAAGAGTTTCCAACCTTTCAAAAGAGTTTTACATAATTTCTGTGATGACAGTGGGAGTATCAAACTGTCTGAGGGGCTGCAAGAAAATTTATTTTAATTGGAAAGACTCTTTAGAAGCACATAAATTCTGTCAGGAAGAGAGGAATAAATTTGCTCAATAAGGCATTAATATTATTCATGTCTTTCATAGCACTGAGGTCATAATATTCTCTGAATAAGCAGAGATGATTTCATTCATTCTATCTCAGTTTCTAGAAACACAAGAGGTAACTGCCACTTCCTGAAGGGTTCCAAGCATCTGTCATGCATGGGAACACGACAGGGTAATGTTTCAGAGACTTCTATTGCTACACAGAAGACAATCAATACTTTCCTTAATAAGCTAATGCCAGAGCATCACTATTTCTGTGACTAAGCAAAGTGGGAAAGGCAAGCAACCAAATGCAGAGCAAAGAATGGGCTAGGAACCAGGCATAAATGCATAAAATGATGTGGACTAGTAATCTGATTATTTTTTAATCAACTGAAACAAAAGATTAAGGCTGGAAGTGCTAGAATTGGTTATCCCGGACTCAAAACAGTGGCTTTAGCAATAACAACCTGTACAACCAAAGACAAATTTCTTAACTTTTCAGTTTTCTCAACTGCAAAATGAGAACAACGATAAACCCAAAAAAAGTAATTGGGACTATATCCCATTGTTAAAATCAAATGCAAAAACACATGTAACACACTTGCCATAATGAGTAGCATGTAACAGATATGTAGTAAACATTGCCTATGAACATGATTACTTATTTAATGAACTGTATTACACTGACAGACAAAACTGGCCAAGACTCCACAGTTTTTGGATTGAGGGAAAAACTGGAGTCAGGGTTGGGAAAACCTCTAATTTAAATTCAAGAATTTGAAAATCTGGGCTGGGGAATATAACTCATGGTTACACATGAGGCCCTGGGTTTGATCCCCAGTACCATAAAAAAATTCAGAAATTTAACTTTAAGAAATGAACTTATATAATTTAGCAAATCCATTTTGCTAAAGCAAATTCATTGCCTTAGTTTTAGTTATGAAAATAAAATACCACCTCAGATTTATTTTGTTTTTTATTTTATTTTTATTTGAGACAAGGTCTTGCTATAGAGCCCTCCTGCTCAGTCTCCCAAGTGCTGGGATTACAGGCATGAACCACCATGTGCAGCTTCAGATTTCCTATTTTAAGTTTTTTTCTTGAATAAAGAGAAAAGGGGTAAGAGGTAAAGAGGCAACATCAGTAGCAAGGCAGATATTAACATTTTCTATTCAGGCAATAAAGACAGTAAGTAATCACTGGGCATGAAGGCTCACACCCATAATCTCAGCTACTTGAGGGGATGGAGATCAGGAAGATCATGGCTCAAGGCCGGCCCGGCAAAAAGTTAGAGACCACATCTCAACCAATAAGCTGGGCAAGGTGTTTCATGTCTGTAATCCCAATCATGCAGGAGGCATTATGTGGAAAGACCACAGTCCAAAGCTAGTCCTGGGCAAAAATGCAAGACTCAGGTTAGCAGAGTAGGTCAAGTGGTAGAGCACTTGCCTAGCAAGCATGAGGCTCTGAGTTTAAACCCCAGTGTTGTGAACAAAAAGAAAAAGAAATCATAGCAATCTTCTATTTATACTTCAATTTTTGTTGCCTTTCCTCTTTTGACCAAGGGAAGAATAATGTCAAGTAGGGATGGGGACTCACATGAACACAAAGAAAACTACAGAAATCACTACTTGATAGAGTACTAACATTAGCCAGGAAGTCTAAAAGTGAAAATTAATTTTGTACTATATAAGGCCAACATATTAAAAAGAAATGACTGTGGATTTTAATTTAAAAGATAGTAAATGTACCTGCTTCTTTTAAAGTGTTGCATTTCTGATATATAGATGTCCGCAAGGTAGGTGCCCTGACATTATATAGTCTTATCTTCTCAACTCGAGAATCAAAGACCCGAAGCAAAGGATCTTTTTCTTCCCACTGAGACATAATTTTATTATCAATGAAGGTGGCAAACATCTGGGTTTCAATGAAGCGTGAAAGAAATGGCAGGTAAGGCTCTGGTTGGTCAGACAGGAAAGAAGCCTGCAATGAGATAATGAGCAAGCTGTTACTACAGCGAGGTCATCTCTGTATTACATCATAAACCTGAAAATGATCTCTTGTTAAGACTTTTTTTTTTTTAAATCTAATAGCACATAAAACTGACACCTAAAGTTCAAAAAACCTAAGAAAAATGACTCTTCTTTCTTCTAAATTATAAATTTTAGGTCACTTAGGTCCTTAGTACTGGTCCAATCTTTCAAAAGTGATTAATATTCTAATCCTGATGATCATTATGCACCCAAGAGGGCATTACTAATGACAGACGGTGGGTAAATTGCTATATGCTTGTCAGTCATCCACTTCATTTACTATTAAGTTCTTATCCCTCTCCCCACGGAGAGGGTTCCTTGTCTATTCAATGCACCTCCCAGCCATCAGGCAGTGCAATCAACCAACATCTGATACAATAATGATATATACATTAACAATAACTTAAAACATGACTACATGGAATTTGTGTTTATGGGTGAAATTCTTCCATTGTCAAGTGTACATTTTTCTAGGCGCCAACTCTTTTTGTTAATTCAAGACCAAACTTCTTTCAGACCTGTGCTGACATAATATTCTGGAGCTTAATGACTAAAAAAACCACTGAGAAATCATCAAAGAAAGCCTTCAGAAAATATATACAAGGTGTACCTTCCTCTTACTAGCTTGTCTGATGCACGAATGGCTTGATAAATTGTAATTGGTTTCTAATCCAAAGTGTTCACTTTTTTCTCTTGTTCTTCAGGTCCATGTGTATAGGATTTCTAGTCTCAGTTTGGTACTAGCTAAAATTTACAAGTGAATTACCATTTCAGTCACTGGGTTGACCTTAATTTTTATTCTTTTGAGTAGATGCCGTGTGAAGAAGAAAGATAGAAGGATAAGTTCTGACATAAAGTTACATTTCTTAACACTCATCAGCTTCTTTCTAGCATATTTATTTTTTCATTCTGTAATTTCAGAAGCATTTTTTTAAAACTTCTTACAGAAATACACTTATTCAATTTAAGTGTCCCCATAATTCAGATGTACCTTTGTAAACAGAAACAACCAGAGTAAGATTTAACAGTAGTCTCTAGAAATTGGTTCACCTTCTCAAAAGGTATACAGATAAACATCAGTTTTACTTTCTGTGATTCAAGTAGCCTATAAAAATAAAACGGGCCAAATATCTGGCGTCTGATGCTCAGACTCTCATGGACTACAAGATTTACGGTCAACAAAATTTGGCTTACAGGGCCATATGCCCTGCATATGTTCCTAGTGACAAGATGGTTACAAGCTTTCTGGAATCCAACATGAACCTTTTATTTTCCTAAGGGTCACATAAGAATAATTCCATTTCTAGTCTGAAATTACATAATATTTAAGAAGGAAAAAAGGCCAGGATTTGATATTTGAATTGAATTGCCCCAAGGATAAATCATGAATGCACACCAATTAATTCCAAGCTGGACAGAAAAAGTATAAAAAGTTAAGCTAATGAGAAAGGGACCCAAGAGTAGGACTATATTTGAGGTGAAGGTTTCTCATTATGAAAGAAGTTTGACCAAACATAAAGTATATACATCATATACTATCCTCCATTAGAAAAATACCTGATGAAATCAGAAAATAATCTTTTATGTACCCGTCTTCACACAAATTTTTAGTTATACTTATTGGCAGATGCTCCAAGATTGTATATTATCTTCTTTGCATGTATTAGCCCCTTTGGGAGGTCTTTCATAACACAAAGATGCCACTTAGTGAAAGCAATGATTCATTCTAACAGTGGCATTATATAATCACACAGGCAGGGGACTGAACTGTACCCTGGTGACCTAAAAACAGTTAATGCACATGGCTAAGTGCTTTTGTCTGGGAAAAAAAACTCTAGGGGATATGTGAAGAATACACGTCAAAAGGATACAGTAAACCCTAGAAAGAAGTTTCAGCAGGACAACCAAAAGCTGTTGTCATTTTTTGCCTTCCTTTTCCAAAATCTTAGGAACAGTCTTAGACTAAAAGTTACACAACCTAAGTTACTTACTCTTTTTTGATCCTGGAATGAGATAAAAATTGTCTTCTGAAACTAAACTATTGCTATATTTATATGGACAATTTGTGACCTCATCATAGGATGAAGACTAAATATAAGAGTAAGTCTTTCTTAGAAAAGGGACAGGCTTCATTTTACTAGACTTGATCATAAAATAAAACCATGACAAGGTTAGAAAACCTGTGAAATTTAAGTTTCTGTAATTTAAGAGTTGTCAAAGTATAGAAAATTTAAATGTGAGATTATAGCAATTTAATATATAATCCAATGACCAGCCTTATGAATTAGCTGATTTGCTTTCTTGTGACATTATCGTACCAAGTCTAAAATACTGGTTGGTAAAGGGAAGTTCTTAATAAGACAGAAGAGAAGAAAACTCTGTGTATAAAAACAATGAGATTGTACTGTTGGCTACTAAGAACCATAAAAAAGAAGAGCGTGGTTCTTTTTACTTTGTCAAAGTTCTGCATCTGCTCCCGGTTGGTCAGCCAGGATTCCATGTCCTGGGCAGTCTGAATAACAAATGCTTCATAATCTGCAAACATCTGTGTAAAGCGGTTAGCAAAGACCTCTCGCAGTTGTACGTTGAGCTGGTAGTCCCTTAGTTCTGCCTCTTCAAACTGCAGTTTTAAATTCTTTTCTTTTTCACCCAGAGAAGATGAGAAGTCCATTTTTCCCACAGTCACACCAGTCCGCTTGGCCAGAGCCTGGAGACGGGCTATGGTTTCATTGCCTTTCAGTAACTCATACATGCTGATGTTGTTGGTGGAGACATTGCCATTCTTTTTGTCATTGACCAAATCTTTGAGAACCAGATTCTTCAGTTTGGTGGCACTCTCACTGCAATGTAGCCTACCCTCAGGAGGAATCCCAAATTGAAGAAGAACTTCGGAGAGCTCCTGGATAAAATCTACTTTATTTGGGAACTGTGGAAATTCTTCAGGCAACTCAATAAAATGATTGTCAATATCCACAAAGCACAAATTAGCCTGAAAGAGAAAAAAGAAAGACAAAGGTTTAAAGTAAAGGAATTTTATGTTCTATTTTTCTTATTGGTGGTACTAGGGTTTGAACTCGGGCCCTTGTACTTGATAGGCAGGTGCTCTACCACTTGAGCCATTATTAAAAAAAGAAACGACAAAACAACATAGGTTATGCTGCATTTGTTTCCTTTTAAATTCTTTTTTCTCACCCCAAAGCCTTAAACATACTAAGCACATGCTCTACCTCTGAGCAATACAACCCCATCCCTTGAGATTCAGAATTTTTTATCCTTTAAAAGGAAACTCTTTTGTCAGTTTTTTCCTTATGTGAAGATTGTTATCCCATATTGAATATTTACAAATAATTTTTTCTGGGTCTCAGCAATTTGTTACAACTTGACATGCATCTCTAACATTCCTGAGTAGGTAAAGGTGCCCAGACCCACAGGATCTTACAAATGGACCTCATTCTTTGCCATCCCATTGCTGTAACAATATCTGTAACTTAGAATTGACAATAACCGTTAAGCTATTAGAGCCGGAGTACCCCCAAATGGCAAAGCGCAATCCAATTCACAGAAACTCCACAAATTTTCACTTTGCATGCACCAAATCAGGTAAACCTCAAACCACCTCAGAAGTCATTAAACAAAAAAGCAGGGGCAGAAGGAGGTGGTGGAGGCAAATGCTCATGTAACCACAAATGATTAACCCTTGAATAAGTAAGAGTTGACTCAAAAGATAGTGGTAGACTCTAAACACTATTTTACCTTTACTGGTTTGGACCCTCTTAATCAGAATCTAAGATTCTCAGAGAAAAAGAAGACTAAGCTCCTGGGGTGGAGGTGGAGTGAACATAGGCACCAAAGGTGTAGCTCGTCAAGTAAAATTGATTCCAATTACATTAGCAGTGGACACACAACATGGCGTGGGACAAGCAAACACAATGGGAAGCTTCACTCCTGTGTTTCCCTTCTTTCCCCTCTTTACCCCCATAACCAAGGACAGAATTCATAGTGTACTGTGATCCTGAATGGCAAGGTAAGGTGAAAGGGGAAGCAAACATTTGGGTCTTTGTTTTTCTTTTTTAATCCTTGCTCTTCATCTAAGATCACAATAAGCAAGAAGTACACTGAAGTTTCAAATTAAATTAAATAAAAATCCAAATTTCCCCCTATTCAAAACCAGATAATCAATGATTCCTAGAGCCTGGTATAAGCTTTAAAATTAGCCCTCTAATAAAATTTTGCAGGTGAAGAAACTGAGGCCCAGGAAGATATGTGACTTCCTGGCATCTGCTCCAGATGTATATCTGCAAACAGTCTGAGGCAGAAGTTTTGTTTTGTTTTTCTTCATTTTTTTCTCATCTCCAATGTCAGTAATCTCCTTTAAATAAAGAGCTGAAATGTCACATTTTGCTGAAAACAGTAGCACTGCAAACAGCTTTCTTTAAAGCCACATCTTTATATATACGTCTTTAGTCTCTAGAAGGCAGGATACATTGAAAGGCTTACAGGGGAGAAAACAGGTCACCACAATTCAAATAAATTACTCGCTATCTTTAAAAATGGAAGAAAAAAATTCAATAACTTATGAATCTGTTAACTAGCAACCTCTCTCCACTTTCATTTTATACTATCTTTTGAATTGATGTCTTCCTGCTACCCCTTTTCTATCTCTCTCTTCCTCCCATTTAAAAAACTGCTACGCTCATGAATTCACTGCTGACCTGAAAGTGTATTACCAGGTGGGAGTTCCCGCACAGCAGCTACTGATCTGTCTTCACCTTCTCACACCCTCCCATGTCTGCACAAAAGGGCTCAAAGGGGATCTGATTAACACAAGGGAGAAATAGGGAATACAAAGTTGTGTTATGAAACTCACTGAAGAAAACCAAAAAGGCCTTTCCCAAAAACAAACCAAGGCCTACACAATAGAAGTTCTGGTTCAGTTGATTCCTTTCTTTTAACACCATTAAATTTAAAACTTCTATCAGAAACCTCAAGTATTGCACACATGTTAAAAAATATATGTAAACACCTTAATCTGACACTGTTTGGGAACTTTATTTCTACTGTTCAAACACTAATCACAAGCTTTCATGATATGCAATTACTTCCAATTAAAAACAACACAAGAACTGCAAATATAGTTCAGTGGCAGACCACTTACTGCATGTGCAGCACAAGGCCTTGGATTCAATCCCCAGCATCAGAAGGAAAAAAAAAAAAAAAGATCAACATGAATTACCTCAAAAGTAAGAAAACAAAGAAGTAAGCTTAACTTTCTCTTCTGTGAGTAAGCCCTCCTATGGTCCTACCTAAAAGGCATTCTGATCTCCTTAGTTCATTTTTACTATTTCTTAAGCTGTTATTGACATTTGTCATTTTTTTAAACCTGAAATCACCTTTTATTTATCTTGATGTTTCCCATTGTATTCTACATAAACATTATTTGGGACAATTGTTTGGTAAAGTCTCAAGGAGCAGCTCATTTGAGGAAACCCCAAAAATGTGGGTAGGAACAGGAAATATCCAGGAATGGGAGTCTAGGGCTGCTTTCCTAAACTTTATTTAGTAAGCTACCTAGCTTCTTAGGGTCTGAAGTTAAACTGTCATGAGGGTAGCCAGAGGAGAACATTCAAAATGTTCCCTCGGAGGGCTGGGGGCTTGGCTCAGTGGTAGAGTACTTGCTTAGCATGTATGAGGCCCTGGGTTCCATCCTCAGCACCACGTAAAAGATAAAAAAAAAAAAAAATCCTCAGAGGCAAGATATGACACAAAGAAAAAACTACTTTTGTCTGTCTCAGTTCTTCCCCTAATTTTTTTGGTCTGCTGCTTTCTGTAAAGATGGGCAAGAATGGCTGAAGTGAGATAGATACCACTGTGCAATCGTCTTCAGTGCCATTTTCTTCCCCTTACCCTCCCCATGCCATTCCCTACAAACAAAGCAATTAGCTACTTGTGCCTATCACTTTGGAATCATGGGGATAGGGAGTGGGTAATTATGAGTCTATAGTTATGTTAGTTACCTAACAAGTAAAATCAGACTTTCCTAACAGAATCATTTTTGTAAACTTGTCATTTTTACAACTGTTTTTAGAAGCTTCCTCACTGATTTTAGCCATTATTTTGAGTTTTCAGGAAAAGGGTGAGGAAGTATTAATAGTGAACGTGTTTTGAGTTGCTTTTTATAATGGCTATTTTTATATCTACTTCCTCCTCAAAACTATGTGAGGCAGATTTATTTCATCTCATGTAAAACACCAGAAAGAAGTGATACACTGTTGGCTTTTTCTTCTAAAACAATGATGAACCTAATTAAGCACTGCTGCCTTCACAGCTGATTGAGATTATTTCATGTTATTCTACTCTGTGAATAGATGAGTATGTGTATTTATTAATGCTGAGCTCATGACTGAAAAATTAGAAAATCACAGACATCACTATAAGGATTTTTAGAAATTTTAACTTGTTCATGTTAAGAGTCTAAGGGTACACCCAGACACAAAGAATTCCAACTACAGATATTCCAAGATGGCATTTAAAATTCTCTCAACAATTATGTATCTAAATAAAATGTCATATCATTTGGTTAACATACAAATAGATACTCAACAAGAAACTAAAATATGTCATTGTTTAAGTCTTTAAAACAAAATGCATTTGGCTGGTCTATTTCTTTTTCCTTGAAAATTTAAAGGATTTACTTCTTTACCAACAAGGTACTAGATTAATTTAGTGAAAGAGAAAAACAAGAAAATTCAGAGAATATTAAAGGTAAAATAGAGAGAAAAAAGCAGAGAACATGTATTTTCTATGACCTGAATCAAGCTATTTTCCCTTGACTAGAAATGCTAATTTTTGTAGGGAAATATTCATTAGAATAAAAGTAAGCAATGGATGATTACAGGAATCATTACTGGGTGTAATGGCTGTGGCTCAGTGTGTTATTTTAAATTCACTTATTAAAACGAGAATCTCCATGGGAAACAAGAACAAATAAAAGTGAAGCTCAGCATGAGGGATTTTATTAAGAAAGGTGCTAATTAAATAGCTAATCATATAATGTAATTAACTATTTTATGTTTTTTGAATAGGCATGGCACTCTCAATATTTCATCTCAAAGCGTTAATACTACAATTCTGAGTACCATTAACAACAGCTAAAAATCAGATTCAAAATGTTTTCAAGAATTCTTATTTTCCTCTTAAACAACATTTGAAAATGCAACATACAGGAAGCATAGTAACATTAAAGTGGCAAAAAGCTGGGGGTTAAAATTTTTGCTTCACAGATCAAGACAATTTAACATTTAGAACAGGGTGATAACTGGCTTTTTGTCTAAAATCAGAAAAGCATTTGATGTTTTCATTATTCCCAGCTTGCTGAAAGAAATTCTTTTTCATTTGCTGAAGGTCAAAAATAAAATTCACCTCAATTAACACAATGATTTTCAAGGACGCTAAACTTAGGATATATGGTTTAAAAACAAAATTCATGAGTGTGGAAAGAAATGTTATTAAAATAATAAAGCAATGACATCATGCTACTACTGCTCCATCTTCACAAATTTATAGTTGTGAAAATTTGCTACTGTCCTGTTTTGAAGCATGCTTAATTAATGACGATGCTGGACCATTACAAGTCACAATCTGAAAATAAACAAAACAAAACAAAAAAAGAAGTCACAATCTGCATTCTATGACACAGGCTCTAACCTAGCTGTACTTGGAAGATCTGGAAGTCAAAGAGACACAACTGGACAAAAACAGCACTATTTAACAAAATAGGCTTGACCTAAATCAACACACAGCAAATGTTTCATCACCAGTTGTAAGTTATTACCTCTTGAGGAAGTTCTAGTTTAGAACGGTCAGTTCCTTCTTTTGACTGAAGGCCCATCAGATAAGGGACAGGAGCATCAAGAAAATGTAGCAAAGAAGCGGGGAGGATGGGGACATAAACATGCTGCCACTGAAATGGGAACAAAAGTGTGGTGATGCCTTCTGCCACAGTCATCAAGCGCTGATAATCTGCACAAAACAAGGAAAAACGGAAGGGAAGAGTGCAAGTAAAAACATATTTGCCGCGTTAAGCTTGAAAATATCAGAAAAAAGTCTTTGTTTAAAATAAATGTTTCTTTATGATCATGCAGAAAATAGGTCAATTCTAGTCTAGGTCAGTGACCATTTCTAGTGAAATGGTTTCACCTGAATGGCTTTAAGAGGGTGTGTGTAGGTGGGAAACATCACCACACTGTTTCTCAGAAAACTGGTGGAGAAATCAAGAATAAGTGAAATTGACGTGGGTATTTATTCCACTGAAACAGTATATGATACAGTGCATTGCTACTGATCGTTCCCAAGCTTCCCCCTCCCCCCTTTTTTGGTGTTACTGGGGTTTGAACTCAGGGCCTCATACTTGCTAAGCAGGTACTCTACCACTTGAACCATACCCTTAGCCCTATTGATCCTTTTTTTGTATTCATGCATACCGATACAATCCTCAATTTATAGGCTTAATTTTTTCTTTACAGATGATCATGGTTATAGCCTTTAATAAGCTGATTATATTTATTTAGCCTTCATTTGTGGGCACAGGAAAGAAACAGGCACATGCAGTCATAGTCACACTTCCTATTTTTAACCTCTAAGTAGAACTATCTCATCTAGGGATAAAGTGATTTACCAGATAATTAAACAGTGGATTTTTAAGTTGTGTTTTGTTTGCATGAACAAACTTATCAAACTAAAAACTGTCCACAATATTAAAATTCCCTCTTAAACCACTCCACCATAGTTGCTTTAGACTTACTAAACATGTTCACAACCCTTGGAGTCAGATGTGATTTAGAATTCAGATTTTTTTTTTTTAATTTAGAAAAGGTAATTTGGTGCTTAGACCATAAACTAGGGTAGCACCCTGTAATCAAATGCATTAATATTTTCATAGCAAATGATAAAAGTTTTATAGACCTGAAAATCAAAGAATATAAATAGGGTCACACTTTGGTTCAGGTTTGATTTTGCTGATAAATTAGTTACAAAAACAATGGTTTTTCAGAATTTTTTTGATTTTGAGAATTGACAATAAAGGACTGTGGACTTGTAACAATCTCACAGAAGTTACAGTGTACAGGTTGGGTGCTGGTGGCTCACACCTATAATCCTAGATACTTAGAAGGCAGAGATAGGAGGATCATGGTTCCAAGCCAGCCCAGGCAAATAGTTCATGAGACCCTATTTTGAAAAACCCTTCACAAAAAAGGGCTAGTGGACTGGCTCAAGGTGTACGCCCTGAGTTCAAATCCCAGTATCACACATAAAAAAAGAAGTCACAGTGTAACAAATATAGTAAAATCTAGAGGAGGAAAACTTTGGGGTAATCTTTTTCAAAAAGTTAAGGAAAAAGTATTAGGTGCTATTTAGATCACATCATCTCCAAGAATGCACAACCATTCATAAACATTTAAATTTTTTCTTGTGTCGTTTTACAATTTTTAAATGAATACCTTTAATAGTCTTCAATGGGATTTTGTAATGAATCATCAGTTATCCACAGCCCAAGTATATTTAAAATTGTCCTTATTTGATTCACTATTAAGACTAACAAAATTTTAGGTGAAAACCTCTTTACATGGATACTTATAAAACAAATATCAGGTGGTCTGAAAAGGAGAGGTCAGTTATATAAGTATAAAGAGCTGAGCCAATTACCTAGCATGGACAGACAGACAGAAAGACACACACACACACACACACACTCATCTGAGGTGCACAGAAGACGCTGGGTTAATAAAGCTGTTACTCTGTGGAGGTGAAGGGGGGCAGTTAAAGATAAGATAGAACCAGGCAGATGTCTGAAGTGTAGATGAGGGTCTTCTATCACAGGGATAAGAATGGGATGGAAAGCTGACTTAAAATCCCAAAGATCTGATGGATAGCCCATAGGTTTAGAAACTGTGCTTCTGTCAAACTGATTGAACTTCTGCACTATCATAGGTCTCTATTACAGCACCTGCCCCATGTTACTTTTTTCCATGAAATACTTAGATTCCCTTAGGAAGGTGCTCTTCCTTTAGTACCTGCTCTATGTCACCTTGCCAAAAAAGCATATAGCCAGTGCTGACTGCAATTTACTGACCAAATTTAGTAATGCTATTAAATGGTATACTTTTCTTCTCTTATGTTCAACGGAGTTCTAAAACACACACACACACACACACACACACACACACACACACACACCCCAGAAGTAGGAAAGACAGGCCAGTAATTAGCTATAAAAAGACCAAATCCACTGAAATAGCCTTAGATTCTATTCTGTGGCCATCTATTTCAACCAGGAATGGGGGTCTTTTTATTTTTACAACTTCAGTTCTTAGCACAATATCTGGCACATAATAAAGGCTCAATTTTTTAGTAAATAAATAAATTAGTAGGATAAGAATATATAAATTTGCAGGTTTCTGTAACTTCAATGGATTTATTTACATTTTTGTTCCCAGGAGATTAAGAAGCACTTAGCTGGGCATGGTGGTACATGCCTGTAATTCCAGGCATAGGTAGGTTAAGGGGAGAATCACAAGTTCCAGGCCAGCCTGGGCTACATAGAAAAACTGTATCTCAAAAAAAAAACAAAACCAAAACAAACCAACCAAAAAACAACATGAGCTTGGGGTATAGCTCACTGGTAGAAAGGGCTCTAGCATCTTTGAGGCTCTGGGATTTAATCCCCAGCTCCACAAACACAAAACAAAACAAATCGTAAAAATTTCATAAAAACTCTCGATTTTAAAAAAGAACTTTGTTTTTTAAACATTAAATGGGAAAAAGAATTACTTAAAAGGCTTTTAATAATTTAAAGTAGGGGTATATTCTTTCTCCAGCTTTGGAATGCCTTAAGATTTTTTTTTTAAGAAAATGAGGAATGAGAAGATTGGTTAAGAAATACTTATTAATCATTTCTTTCATCAGTGCTCTCAGTCAAAAAAATCCAGGAGCATACCTGTACTTGAACAAACTGGGCTTGTTACTCGGTGCAGAGAAGGAGAAAAAACACCCTTTGGGGATGTCTAAGTCAATAGAGAATCTGTGCCAGGCTTTGGAGATAGGACTGAGGGAGGGGCTGAGGAAATGGAGACTTGCTTAGGACTGGGAGCTATCAGAAATCAAGGCAATTCTGTGACAGTAGCTATCTCAATAAATCTGGTCTGTTTATAAAGGAGCAAAGACCTAAGTGAATATTCAGATGTAACTGGGGATAGGGTACAGCTCAGTTGTACTTGCCTTGGGTTTGATTCCCAGTGCCACAAAGAAAGGAAGTAAATACAAGAAAAATTAAAATGCTGTAATTGATTAGCAAGCAGCAGTTGTTAACTTAATGAGAAAGAAGGACACTGGTATTTTGTAGATGACATAGTGACTTGCTTGCTATTCTTATAAGGTTACATATGTCCCACAGGAAAACAAAATGGCTTAGTTGTGAGCATTAGGTCAGTCTGTAGTAACAGTGAGACCTTATTTGTGAGAGGCAGATCAATTTCAAGACATAAGGGTGTGCTTTTGATTTATTTCTCAATCACAAGCCACATAAAGGTGAAAGATTTTAAGCAATCAAATTATGTGCTGGTGATCCATTAACTGCCTCTCAACTCCTAATCCAGTGCATGCTATACCTGGTTGGATTCTTAAGCAATTTCTTTTAGGGTGAGCACAATATTAAGCTCTGCCAGCAGAGGGCAATGGAGAGACACCACATGGGGAAGGGGCTTCTTGGTCCCAGTGTGCCATGTACAGTGGCTTGTTCTTGCTACTGCTGTACAGTTGGGTACCTGCCCCAGGCACATGATGACAGTGAGCAGTCCCACAGCAACTGGGCTCAAGGGTTATCTTCCTAGGGCCATCTCAACCTGGATACTATACATTCTGACCTCACACACCATGTGGTGCCCTAAGAGCTCTTGTGGGCCTACTCACCAGCCACCACTCACTAGTGTCTTGGAGGCTTATTTTTTGCTAGACTGGTGACCAAGGCCCAGCTCTGGCCCAGGTAACCTACTGACCTTCTCCATACTTTGCAAACACTCCTTCTTTAGTGAGATATAAACCTTAGTCTTGGGATGAGTCCCACTTCCATTTTGTTCTTTCTTGGTATCCTTTACAGTTTTCTTTACAGCTACTCTCCTATTATAGCATCGTAATACTTGACATTACATTCCTGTTTAAATTACTACATGGTTTCTGTCTCCTGGCTGGACCTCAGCTGAGAGGCACAGGGATTTGAGCAGTCAGATCAAAATCCTAGCAACTTGGCTATTTAACTATTAGTGGGGGAAATGTTCAATCTCCTAGAAAACAAAAAGCCTTCAAGCAATGTTTACTAATACCTTAAGTTATTTTCTTCCTCTGATTATGGAAAACAACACCATAGGAAATGAAAATAAATTACGCACTTCCTCCCCCTCTATTCGACATTAAAAGTAGAACTACTGTGATTTATTTTTCCTTCACCTCACTCCAATCACTTGTGGTGTTTTACAGTAAATAAATGCTTCTTTAGTTCTGTGATACATTCTACCAAATTGTCAAACCCAAGGGATAGGAGAGTGTCCAGAAACCCCTGGATTTATAGTCAGCTGGACCCAGGTACCCCATTAGTGGCTGGAATCATAAGTGACAGGTCTCATAGAACTGAACAGCCCTAAACCTCTAGAATTGGACCTTAACCCTGGGTACTGTCAGAACTGAACTGAATTATTGGATATCCAGTTAGCATCAGAACTGGTGAGTGTCAATGAGGAAAAAGCCTCTCATTTGGTATTAGAAATTACCTCTTATTTGAGGTCAGAAAACACTGGATTTGCTAGAATGGTCCACACTCATGGCAACATGTAGTTTGGGAAGAGACACAAGGGTGGGGATCCTTTGATTCCTTGGTGTCACATGGTCACCCATGGTTTGGAGCCACAGACATGATGGGATCAGTTACCAAAGGTAAAAGTTACCAATGGAATCTAGAGATGGATCCAACT